CTTTGATATAAGGAGAGCAACTAAAAACAGAGCAGGGAGGAAGAGCATGAGAAAAAGATTAACATTAAACAGGGACGAGAGGTGGGAGGGAAAGGGAGAGAGAAGGGAAATTGCATGGAAATGGAAGGAGACCCTCAGGGTTATACAAAATTACATATAAGAGGAAGTGAGGGGAAAGGGAAAAAAATCAAGGGAGAGAAATGAATTACAGTAGATGGGGTAGAGAGAGAAGATGGGAGGGGAGGGGAGGGGGGATAGTAGAGGATAGGAAAGATAGCAGAATACAATAGTCACTAGTATGGCAATATGTAAAAACGTGGATGTGTAACCGATGTGATTCTGCAATCTGTATACGGGGTAAAAATGGGAGTTCATAACCCACTTGAATCAAATGTATGAAATATGATATATCAAGAGCTTTGTAATGTTTTGAACAACCAATAAAATAAAAAAAGGAAGATACTAGATTCAATTTTAAGTTGTCTAAAAGCATTTCAAAGAATTTCAAGCATTGTGAACATACACAGAAAACAGCTGGGAAGATGAAAGTAACATGCTGCTTCTCAAGGAAAGGGTCAACATTTATGTAGGAACTACTGGTTTTGCTGAGAAAGAGAATATTTTTGGTATTTCAACAGAGTTATAGGCATGGAAGACATGGTACAGCAGAGAGAATTAACAATCAGAGATAGGGAAGTAGCCAACCCAATTTAAGAGCCATTTTCTCAATTAGGAGCTTGGTGAATATGTCAGCCAAAATGTGGGTGATGCAGTGAGTCAAGGAAAGGAGCTTCTAAGAGAAGTATGTTAGGAATCATGAGTAGGATTATCAAGGGAACTAGTATATTAATCTTTATTTTATATTTAAACATGGTCCTTTCATTCTTGATGTTTTAAAATTAATGTAAGTATCTCCCTGCTAGAGAAAATGAAAAGTTTTAAGAAAAAAGTTGATACTTGCTGGCTTATTAGCAGGGATGAAGCTCTTAGATAAGACAGAAAAAATAACCTTGAATGAAAACCATGAAGAAAAGGAGTCAAAGTTGAAGGAATGGAAAGAAATGAGAAAGATCTGAAAGTAAACAGGAAATACAGGCAATTTGCTATCAGGATAGCCAACAAAAGCTCTCACAGTATTGAATAGTCAGTTTCACAGTAACAAATTCAGATTGATTCAATTTAAAGACCATAGAGTTTTCAGGGAGGACATGGAGGCCATGAGATTGTAACTCTCAGACCTTGCAATGGTTAATCTGAATTGTCAACTTGATTGGATTAAGAGATGCTGATGATTAGGAGGCTTCTGGGTGTGTCAATGAGGGTGTGTTTAGGATTGGCATGTGGGATAGCCAACTGAAGTGGAGACTCTCCCTAAGCATGGACAGCACCATCCAATAGGATGGCAGCTTGGATAGAATAAATTTGAAAGAACAAGGAAGCAGCAGTAGATGAAAGCTCCATTCTTCTTGAATGGGTTCTTGATTGCTGCAGCGATCACCTGAGGATATCAGACTCTTGCTTCTTCACTCTTCCAAAGTGGACTCTGCCAGTGTTTCTCCAGGGAGTTTCCAGAAGCCTGTGGTCTCAGACTAGGGTAGCACTGTTGATCCCTCTTGTTCTGGAGCTTCAGCCTTTTGAACTGTGCAGCTATTGGTTCTTCTAACTTTCCAGCTTGCAGATAGCCACTGTGGACTATCCAGCTTCTGGTTGTGTAAGCCAACCTATAAATCCCTTCTTTATAATCACACTTCCTGTTGATTCTGTTCCTCTAGAGAACCCTAATACAGATCTCCTGTTGCAAGAAGTATCACTGACTGATGATTGCTGTGTTCTGAATTCATCACCATGGAATCCACACCAAGCTCATGTTTTTGTGAGATCCTCTCAATAACTGAGCATGGCAGAAAGACTAAGGAAGATCTATGAGAGAAGAAATTTCCCTGATGGACCTTTAGCTTGAAGATTCTCCACCAGCTTTGCCAAATGTACTTAGTATTTAATGGGGGCTAAGACTCTCCCTTTCTCCATCATTTCCTTCATAAAAGAAAGATCTACATTCCAATTTAATGACTCTCAAGCCTCTTTAAGTTACTATTTTAAAGGGTTAATCCTTCTTAAAATAGGCAAAACCCTGGGTCTGAGCACAAGTTAACAAATAAAAATACCTAGATATTTGAATATTATAATCACAAACTCAAAAGCAAAAACTTTAAGAAACAGAATTAATGAAACATATAAATTAATAATTGATATACAAAAAAGAAGCCCAAAAGGACAAAAAATATTAGTAATACGAAGGAACAAGAACTCATAAAAAAAAAAACTAGAAATACTACTGGGGTTAGGGATGTGGCTCACTGGTTAAGCACCCCCAAGTTCAGTTCTTGGTACCAAAAAAAAAAAGAAAGAAGAAATAAATACTACATAAGAAATTTCCACCTATATTAATGTCAGGCTAAATAATTATGTAACAACCCTCCTGATAAAGGTAACTACAATAGTTAAATGAAATACAAGTATCTTCTAGAAAGCATCAAGGAACTAACAATGCACACACACACATACACACACACAGTGCGGGGCGGGGGAGGGGGCTTAAATCAAACAGGTAAAATAAAAATTCCTAGGTTTCAGTCCTAAAAATTGAAGATTGTATATCTTGGGGGTAGTTAATTAATTTCATTTTTAACATAACAGCACACTTAGTCGATTTTGACTGTAAGTAGTAAACCTAATCACACTTAAAGAAACATTACCTTAGTGTGTGACAAGAATATTTTCAGTTCTAAGTCTAGATTGTGCTTTCAATGTTTAATAATTAACTGAATATGGAGTAACTGAGGAATGAAAGAGAAACCAAAGGTATTCAATATTTTATCTTAGGTTTATCAAAAATGCTAATAATAGGCAAGTAATATTTTCCCAGCTATGAACAATTCCTGTTACAGTAAAATGTTTTTATATTCATTATTCCATTTGATCATCACAACAACCCAATAAGGTAAATAGGACATATAATAGATTTCTGTTTTTCAGATAAATAACTAAGGCTCATTTAGCATAAAGTCACAGCTAGCAAGCAGTAGAACTGGGACTGAAATCCAGGTATTTAAAACCCCAAATCTATGTTCACCCCACTTCACAATATTCTAGGTCAAATGAATTCTTTTTTTCTCAATTTTCATGATTTAATAGTACAATTTGGCCAATATCATTAAATGCCAAAGTCAATTTTCAAGTCATATATGTAAGTGAAGATTTACTTTATTTTACTTGAAACTGAGGATCAGTTTTTGCAGCGCAGTTGAGAAACTAGGATCAAAAATATAATTTTAAATTAATTTACATAATGATTATAGCTACAGCTGTGAAGGTAAATTATATTTTCAAAGAAAGGAACATAAACTGGGAATAAAGATCCACGGCCTGAAACTTTAAGCCCACAGTAAGCAGAAAGGTAAACAAAGAGAGACTGAAAAAGCAAAAGGAGAACCAAAATAGAATTTTAAGAAGAAAAAAATTAATCAGGTAGTATTCACTGATGACTGAGAAAGAAGACATGCTTATTATATATATTAAAAGACAGAAGGTATTATATCAGATTCAAGAAGTATCACAGGAAAAATTGATAGTGGGAATAATATTCTTTATGAGGGTGAAATATCTGAGAATAAATGAAGAAGTTAATTAGTAATTCTCATGCTCCTTCTAATGAGATACCCTAGAATACACAGAAACCAATGCTCACAAACAAAATTAGACTTGTCAAAATAAGGACCAGAAAACAAGGGGAAATATTATTAATTTAGGCCTGAGTAGGGCAGTAAATTATTTTTAAAACTCAACTTTATATTAAATACAAATAAAACATAACATAAAATAATTAACTTCTATAATATGGTTATAAAAATGTAAAAAATGGAAGGATATGTGCCAAATGTTAAAAGATTTTAAAACAAAAATTTTTCTATACTTACCAACTTTTATAGTTAAATATCTTTTCTTAAAAGGATTAATTAGAATAATGAAGTTGATATTTTCCCTCAAATGCTTCTAATCATGAGGGCTAAAAACCATGAAACATTTTTTTTTCCTTCTTCTATTACACTATAAACAAAACTAAATGAAAAAAAGAGGGAACAGAATTGGCAGGGCTTAGGACACTCTCCCCCAAAATATGACATCATGACATATTAAGTATTTTAAACTAAAGGAATTTGAGAAGCAGTATGTGCAAGGAGGATTTTCTAATCTTCCCACAAAGCATGAACCTCTCATTTGAGATTTTCCCTCCCTATATTTGGAGGAAAACAGGATCCCATCTCTGAAGACAAAGGACAGAGAAAGGAATCTGAATGTACAGGCCTTGTTAAGTTTCCCCCAGTTTATTATACTTAGTTCATATTCCCTTTGTCCTATTATATTTCTCTATGACTTTCCATTCTTCATCAAACTTAGCATAAAAACACTCAGGTTTAACCTCTTCTTTGGGTTCTTTGGGTCTTTGTTTTCTTATGATGGCTTCCATGTCCTGTGAAACTTACATTAGATAAATCTGTATGTTTCTCTTTTGTTAATCTCTTTCATTACACGGGCCCTAGCCAATGAACTTATGATGAGTAGAAGGAAAAGATACTTTTCTGCCCTTCAAGAGCTTAATGATCCAGATAATTAATGCTTGCATAAAGAAGAACTGGCAAAATATCTACAATAGTTATATAAGGTATGAAGCAACCAAAGATTCAAGCATTTCAAATCTTCTGCGAAAAGTCACCAGAATCAGTGAAGATAAATTCTCTCTATCAAAAAGATGCCCTAGACTTTTATAAAGAGTACTCATGTAAATTTATTATGCCCTTCAGCTAATAATAATGATACTCCATTGGGAATGGCTATTACAATTCAATTTACCATCATCTAAATTTTAATACAAAAATTTTTAAGTTTAGTCTTAAGTAAGCAATTATTAAATACACTAACAACTTTCAAAGGAAAATTACCTGTTGGTTTGAAATTAACATCTTCATCCATCTTTATCAAGTCAAGAGATGACAAATCATTCAGATTCTTCAAACATAATTCTGTTCAATTATAGAAAATACATTTTAATTTTAGTAAAATAAGGAAGCAAGACAAAATAGAAGTTATTATTAAATATGCTAAAGTTATGTTTTAGTGTAATTGTTCTGGGAACAACTGTATTCCCTATTTAAAGAGTGAGAAAAAACAAAATTAAGAAGCCAAATAACATGTTAAAAAGATTTTCTAATAGTAACAGTAATACAAATAATAAAAATAACATTCAATAAGTGGTAAAATAGCATTTGCCATTTGGAGCATTTAAAACGATATACATGTGCTACCTTATTTAATTCTCATAATAACACAGTAAGGTATTCATCAATATTATTTCCATATACAGGTTAGGAGACTTAAGAATAGAATCTAAGTAACTTGTTCCAGATGTTAAGTAACTGCTTTGTTAGCTGTCTTCCATTATAGCAGTAGTTTTCTATTTCTTTTGTCTCTTCTTTAATCAAAGATATATATGCATAAATTAAAGATAGTTAAATACTTCTAAAAGTTTGTTACTTTCCCCACATCCCCATTTGCCACTTTCTTGAGGCACCTTCTTAAATCTGTCTCACCTGATGCTTTTAGTATTTACTTCCATTTCTCTGTATATTCCACCATTGCTACCTGGAAGGAACCTCTGAACAGGAAGCAATACTATTTCATGTTAATTGACAGAGATTACTAGACCAATGCTAATTGCAGTCTGGTGCTTACATTTCTTACTCTACCCCATGCTACAGCCCAGAAGTGAGGTAGTTCAGAGCAGAGTGAATATGACAACCTGTTCAATCATAAAAAAGTCAATACATTATTCAGCAAACCCTCACAGAGCTACAACAAGAAACCATCTTGAGAGGGTCCTACTGATAGAGACCAAACAGCTCTGGGGAGCAGAAAACTCAAAGAGTAATCACAATTAGGGGTCTCAGTGGACATGCACCACATTGGCTATGTGGGAGATGGCCATTCAAGACAGCTGTAGGTGGTGAGAAATATAGAATGAGTCTGATAAGTAGTTTAAGCAGCAGAGATCATGGGTTGGGACAGAGGATGGAAGACACAGAGGTCAATGGTCTCTCCCTCTGTGAGGAAAGAGAAAAGATGTGGGTATCATGGCAAGAATCCAGGTCTGAGAGTGCTGGGACTGTGGGTGGCAAAATGCTTGGTTCTCATGACTCGCCCTCTGGTGAGGAACTTGCTGGCTTGACTCACATGAGGTATCCTGATTGACTGGTTCAGCTTTGACATTTGCCAGGCCACAGTGACCATCTCACCAAGCATTCAGACTAAGGGTCTCTGGCATGAGTGTGTACATGCTCAGAAAGAAGTGTCTCCAATCCAAACATCTCAGCTAGGAGAAATCTTAATTTAATTCTCTCTTTAAAAAAAAAAAAAAGCAAGTACATAATAATTACACATAATAGTGGGATTCATTGTGACATATTCATACATGCACTTAACATAATTTGGTCAGTTTCATTCCCCCGTACCTTCCCTTGCCTTTCCCTCCTCCTTCCCCTGAAACCCCTTTCTCTACCATACCAGTTTCCCTTCTGTTTTCATGAGTTCTCTTTTTTTTCCTCTCCTTTTTGCTCTCTAGCTTCTGCATATGAATAAAAATATATGACCTTTTGACTTTCTAAATTCAGCTTTAACATGAAGCTTTAGGGGAATTTTTAACTGATATATATTTTTTCTTTTTTTCACTATTCTACCTTCTATTATTTTTATTTTATTACTTTTTATTTCTTTACTTTTATTATTTTAAACTTTAATTATAATTTAATAGGATTTCCCTCTTTACTCTTCCATTGTCTCATTTTCCCTTTTTAGTTTATTGTATAATTGTTTGCTACATTTTTTTGTGTAGTTATTGGTGTTATTGTTGATGCCTACTGTTTTTATACATCTGTTTTGCTTTATGTGTATTACTGTTACTAGTTTTCTTCCTTCTGAGTGGAGCAGGATATCAAGCCTACTGCTTCAAGCAGGTTGGGTGAGTGCTCTGTACAACCTTAGCACAGTTGAGAAGAAAAGCACTTTATTCTAGTCACAACCTAGTCCCACCTAAACTTTGGCAGATACTTGAACTTTGAGAACAGGGGAGATAAATACCCCCAGCTGATGACCCAGTCCCAAGTAGACATATAGTGCTATGGGGGCTCTAAGTTCTTTCCTGGATACTAGATCCCCTGGCCCCATAGCAGGGGCAGAGAGAAATAACATAACTGTTGTAGACACTGTAACTATGAGGGATCGCACCCTAGGCACTCCTATCCTTGCACACAACACATTATAAGTGCATACATTAAAAAAAGAAAAAAAACTGAAAGATCACAGATAAATAACCTAATGATGCATCTTAAGATCCTAGAAAATCTTAAATCAGTGGAAGGAAAGAGAAAATAAAAATCAGAGCAGAAATTAATGAAATAGAGACAGAAAGAACAATACAACAGATCATTGAAAGAAAAAATTGGTTCTTTGATAAACAAGATTGACAACTCTTAGCCAAACTAACCAAAAGAAAGAAAGAAGACCCAAATAAATAAAATTAGTGACAAAAGAGGGATATTACATCAGATACTACTGAAATCCATACTCTCGTTAAAGACTATTTTAAAAAATCACATTCTGATAAAATGGAAACTATAGAATGGACAAATGTCTAGCAAAATTGAATGTTAAAAACCTAAACAGATCAATTACAAACAATGAGATTGAACTTCCCAACAAAGAAAAGCCCAGGAATGGATAGATTCACTGCTAAAATTCACCAAACTTTTAATGAAGAACTGACACCAGTGCTCCTGAAACTATTCCATGAGACAGAAAGGGAAAGAACTCTTCCAAACTCCTACTATAAAGTAATATTACCCTGCTACCAAAAACTAAAAAGGGCACAACAACAAAAAAGAAAATTGTAGACCAATATTCTTGATGATCATAGATGCAAAAATTCTGAATAAAATACTTGCAAATCAAAGTCAAGAACACATTAAAAAGATCATATACCACGATCAAGTTGATTTGATTCCCAGGATGCAAAGACAGTTTAACATATACAATTAATGAATATAACACCAGAAAAAATCATGAACAAAATCAAATGATCATCTCAATAGAGGCTGAAAAAGCCCTTGATAAAATTCAACATACGAGAAAAAAGACATATAAAGAAACTAGTTATAGAAGGATCACATCTCAACATTTTAAAGACTATATATAACAAATGTATAGCAAATGTCATACTGAATGGGGAAAACTAAAAGCATTTCCTCTAAAACAGGAATAAGACAAGAATCCATCTACTGTCATTAATCCTATTGAAATTTTAGCCAGAGCAATAAGGCAAGAGAAAAAAACATGAGAAGCATACAGGTAGGAAAGGAAGAAGTCCTTTGCAGATGATATGATTCTATCCTTAGAAGACCAAAAGACTGTTAGAACTGATAAATGAATTCAGCAAAGGAATAGGATACAAAATTAACATTAAAATATTTTTAGCTTTTCCATATACCAATAACAAACTCACTAAGAAAGAAATCAAGAAAACAATTAACAAAAAAACAAAATTAGGAATAAACCTAACCAAGAAAGTGAAAGACCTCTACAATAAAAAATTATGTAAAACTAATGAAAGAAATCAAAGAAGACACTAAAAGATGGGGGGAAAACCTCTTATGTTTATGGATTGAGAATTCTCAGTGTTAAAATGGCTGTACCACCAAAAGCAACTTACTGATTTATTGATATCCCCATCAAAATACCATGATATTTTTCAGAGAACTAAAAAAAAAAGTCCTAAAAATTCATAAGAGAACACAAAAAAACCCAAATAACCAAAGCAGAACTGAGCAAAAAGAGCAATGCTGGAGGCACTGGTTCTTTGAAAAGATAAATAAGATTGACAACTCTTAGCCAAACTAACTAAAAGAAAGAAAGAAAAAAGACCCAAATAAATAAAATTAGAGACAAAAGGGGTACCACAAAACCTGATTTCAAAATATACTACAGAGTCACAGTAACAAAAACAGCATAATACAGATATAAAAACAGACACACAGACCAATGGAATAGAATAGAGAACCCAGAAATAAATTCATGTGTATATATAGTCTTCTGACTCTTGACAAAGGTGCCAAAAACATGTTGGGGAAAAGATAGCCTATCAAACAAATGGTGTTGGGAAAACAGGTTATCCATCTGCAGAGAACTGAAATAGATTTTTTTTTTTTTATTGTTGGTTGTTCAAAACATTACATAGTTCTTGATATATCATATTTCACACTTTGATTCAAGTGGGTTATGAACTCCCATTTTTACCCCATATACAGATTGCAGAATCACATCAGTTACACATCCATTGATTTACATATTGCCATACTAGTGTCTGTTGTGTTCTGCTGCCTTTCCTATCCTCTACTGAAATAGATTCTTATCTCTCACCTTATATATATAAAAAAATCAACTCAAAGTGGATCAAAGACCTTAATAAAAGGCCTGAAACCTTTGACTTTTTAATCTATTAGGAGAAATACTTCAAGATATTGACACAGGCAATAACTTCCTGAATAGAACTCACGTAACTCAGGAAATAAAAGCAAGAACTGACAAATGAGATTACATCAAATTAAAAGGCTTCTGGCACAGCAAAAGAAACAATATAGTAAAGAGACAATCTACCTAACGAGAGAAAAATTTTGCTAGCTACTAATGGCAGAGAACAGTTATCCAGAATATATAAAGAACTTAAAAGACAAAAGAACAAGTAATCCAATTAAAATGAGCAAACTATTTAAATAGACATTTCTCAAAAGTAGTACAAAAAGGAATACAATAAATACATGAAAAATGTTCAACAACTTTAGTCATCAGGGAAATGCAAATAAAAATTCCCTTCAATAACATCTTACCTCAGTCAGAATGACTGTCATCAATACAAAAACAAACAAAATATAACAAACGCTGGCAAGGTTCGGCAGAAAAACCAGAATAGTATTCAGCCATAAAAAATGAAATTATGTCACTATGTTAAGTGAAATAAAGCAGACACAGAAACATAAGTATCACATGTTTTCTCTTACACGTGAAAACCTTAAAAAAAAAATCCTGAAAGGAGAAGAAGAACTATTAGGGGAAAGAGGAGGAGGCGGGGGAGGGTAAAAGAGGGCAGTAGGAAGGATGGATATGATTAAAACATGATCTATGCATATATGGAAATGTCACAGTAAAATCCATTAATCTGTACAATTAATGAGTTAATTTTTATAATAAATAAGAAGGAAAAAGTATCTTTGCCAAGCTTTATTTGTGTGAAAAAAGTATTATTTTTCTAGACAAGTTTATTTTTTTTAAAAATTATAAAAAAATCCTTAACTGTAATAATAACTGATGTTTTTCATTAAAATATACAGAATATATATTTTATAGAAGGAATTACAGCTAACCTTGTAATTTTGCTTCAATTCCATCTTTGTTCAATCCAGATGTAAAACCTGTATAAGTCATGAAAATATATAAAAAATAAAATGAGTTTAATTCATCTTTATAGTCTCAATTTATATTCCACTTAACTAGAAAAGAGCATCTAATTAAATCTTATATAGGAAAAAAGAAAACAGCTTGGTAAGTTCAAGCAAGGCTTAAATATCTATAGAACACAACCACTATTTTGAAATCCTTTCATACAATTGGCTCTCTTTTGCTTATTATATTATGTAAAAGTGATCAGGAATATTATATTTTAAAAGGAATGATGAGAACAGACTTCTAATGTTTATGAATAATAAATTTCTGTCAAGTGATGAATATTTTCTAGTGGACTTTCATTATAAAATAGATGTGCCTATGAAAAAATGTTTGATAATACTATCACTTTAGAAAACTGCTATATACTGAAGTTGAAACTACACATACTCGATAATAGTAATTTCACTCTTAGGCATTATGTATACAAGGGTATCAAACGACATATAACAAAGTTGATAGAGGCATTACTTAAAATTTTTTATATTTATTTTTTAGTTTTAGGTGGACACAATATCTTCACTTTTTTTTTTTAAATGTTGTGTTGAGGATGGAACCCAGCGCACCGCGCATGCCAGGCAAACGCGCTACCTCTTGAGCCATATCCGCAGCCTTATAATGGCATTATTTAACTAAGAATTTTCTTTTATCAAAAGATTCCTTAAGAAAGTGAAAAGTCAAGCCTGATTGTGAGAAGACATTTAATACATATATTTGGCAAATAACTCATCCAGAGTATGTCAAGAACTCCTCTGTATTAATCATAAATATACAAACAATTGAAGTAAAAATAGATGAAAGACTTGAAAGGACATTTCACAAAATAGCATATCTAAATGCCCAATAAGCGTATGAAAAGATCCTCATGCTAATATTTGTCTTAGAAATACAAAATAAAATCACAAAGAAACCACTACACACACACACACACACACACACACACAAAAGAATGGCTGAAATAAAACCAACCATTGACAAGAACGTAAACCAGGATGTAAAGCAACTAGAATTCAGCAACTAGATTTTTTTTTTTTTTTTTGGTAGTGCTAGGGATTCAACCCAGGGCCTCCAGGGCCTTCTGCATGCTAGACAACTGCTCTACCACTGAAGTACCCATCCAGGTTCTTTTCAGGTGGATGGGATATCACTATGTTGCCCCAGCTGGCCCAGAACTTGTGCAAGGCTCAAGTGATACTCATACATTAGCCTCTCATGTAACTGGAACTACAGATCGCTTTACCTTGCTAGACTTAGAATTCTTACACATTGTTGCTGAAAGTGTAAATTAACTCAACTGCTTTGGAAAATTACTGCATTTGAGGGTATCTACTAAAGCTAAACATGGTTAATAAGTCTACCTGATTTACTCCCAAGTATATACTTGAGAAAAATGAATGTCTTATCCATCAAAAGACATGCAGAAGAATATTCATAGTAGTTTTATTCATTACAGTAAAAAATTGAAAATGACCTTCAAAAAATGTCCTTCAAAAAGAAAATGATGCTTAAATTGTGGTATATTCATACAACTGGATATTTAATAACAACAAAGTGCAAATTACTACTAAAAATCCAATAATACGAATAAATTTCATAACAATATGTTGAGCAAAAGAAACTAGAGCTAAAAAGAGTAAATACCATACATACGTATACACACATATGCCTACATTGATATGAAGTTCAAGAATAGACAAAACTAACTAACCTATGGTGAAAGAACAGTATTTACTTCTGGGTGTGTAGATACTAACCAAATCAGCATGAGGGAACCTCTGGGAAATTCTTTGTATCTTGATCTGGGCAGTGGTTTTGTGTGTGTGTGTGTACACATGTAAAATTTCACTGACATTGATATTAAAGATTTGTACATTTTATTGTATATTAGTAATAACTCAATATAAAAAGGAACTGCAATATATATGTATTTAAATTTAAAAAATAACTACAAAAATAAAGTGATCATGAGAAGGAAAAAATACAAATTAAAGCATATCATTATTCACACATAATATTTTTAAAAATATACAACTATACACCCTTAAGGTAAGGCTGAAGAAATAGAAGGAATATGGCATTCTCAAACACTGCTATAGCTATGAAAATTGAAAACCAGTCACAAATTCAGAATAAGAAAATAGCTAAACACTAAGTACAGAAAAAAAACCTGTAACTTATTTTAAATTACTTTAGGCATTTTTGCTATTTCTACTAGAATTGAATTTTTCTACTATATCTGTTTTTAAAGGCATTGATTTCAAAGCTTATTAAAAGACTAGAAGTAAAACAGATAAAAGTTTTCTCACTTTTTTCTACTTTTGCTTCTAAACATATTTATGATGCTGTTACCTTTTATTACCTTTTAGTTTCTGGAGTCTATTCAGTAACTTATTAGTCTAAACAGAGTCACAGCAGGATTTTAAAAAGTACTACTTTTCTAGGTCAAAGTAACAAACCATAATGAGATGGGTTTTTCAAGGCTCTGATATAAAGCAAAGTTGATCGTATCCATTCCAAAGCAACATTCACATCTGTGATGGTATGCAATACTATCTCTGCATTTAAATGTTCAATAAGATGTCTGTGCAAACTAATGGGGGGAAAAAACACCTCTGCATTACTAATATTTATTTCAGTACTATAACTCTTACTTTTTAAACTTTAATAATATATAATATACTCATTGCTACATTAATAATTCATGAAAGACAATTTAATTTCAAAAACTGTAAGAAAACCTTAAGTCAGTTCAACTCTTAAAAATTTTTACATTTCTCTTTACTTCATTGGTCTAGAAGGCAAACTATTACTTAAGAAAGTGTATATGTGTGGTGGTGGGGGGAGAAAATATTCTATTTTCCCCAAGAAAAAAATATATCAAATACTCTACTAGAAAGTCCCAGATTATCTCTCTTATTATTATTATAAATTAAAATTTTAAAGATATAAAAATATTTCCACTTACTACAAATTAGTAATTATAAATGTATATAATTTAGTATGTAAATTATAACGATAATTAGTAAGAACTTACTACAAGGTAGGCCTTTTATAACAAGGATACATGTTACCATATGCTTTTAATAAACATCAATGAGTAAAATTATTCTATTATCTTTTTTAAAAAAACTATTAAATTTCTTAAAATAACACAAACATTCTAATTAAATTATTAAAAATTTTCTGAAAAATAGCCTTAAAACTAAAAATTTCCTTTTAATATATTAAAAGAAAATACTTGTATTAGTATTATTATCTTTTTTGGAATTTTTCTGTATTACCTGCTTTCTACAGTGTCACTACAAGCTAACATTTGAATGTACTTCTCTCTTGTATTTAACCGAGTCATAATAACTGCTGTAGCTGTAGAGTCAAACTAGAAATAAACAAACATCACATAGGTAAATTCAGTAAAGAAGGACATATTGTGGCACCAGTCCTTTTATTTTCTCTTTCTCTCTCTCTCTCTCTCTCTCTCTCTCTCTCTTTGTAGTTGTAGATGGACAAGAATGCTTTTATTTCTTTATGCAGTGCTGAGGATTGAACCCAGTGCTGCACGCACCGTGTTAAGCAAGCACTCTACCATTGAGCCAAAGCCTCAGACCTGCACCAGTCATTTTAATACTTCAAGACTTTAAATTTTATATTAAAGAGTTTCTTACCCCTTTGTCTTAAATAACAAGTCAAAAGGCCTAAAAAATGCTTCTGAATTTAAATGTTAAATTTAATTTTAAAACCTTCCAAGAGTATGAATGTAAATGCCACTTTAGTTTCAATGTAACAAAATTTTGGCAATGTTAAAATCAAAGCAAACTTCAGTAACTAGGTAAAAGTTTGTGTTTTTTTGTTTTTTGTGGCGGGGTACCAAGGATTAAACTCAGGGCACTCAACCACTGAGCCATATTCCCAGTCCTATTTTGTACTTTATTTAGAGAAAAAGAGTCTCACTGAGTTACTTAGCACCTTGCTTTTGCTGAGGCTGGATCCTCCTGCCTCAGCCTCCCGAGCTGCTGGGTTTACAAGTGTGCGCCACCGTGCCCAGCTAGGTAAAAGTTTTAAGATTTGATGTAGTTTACACATGATCTAATTTATCCTACATAATTATAAATATGTATAACTTAATATTTTTACATTCTTTGAAAAGATATTCTTCCTGAATGTTGCCTTAGTAACCTATATGAATGACTTCTTCAATCAAGTATTTGTCAGAATAGGGTAAGTTCTGAAATGTATATAAGCTGACTTTTAATTGTTACAACACCTGGGGACACTACTGGAATTTAGTGTCAGAACCCAGGAATGTTCTATAATGCACATGACAACCCTATACAATGAAAAACTTACTCATCCCAAATGCTAAAAACATCCCTAGATTCAGAATAAAACAAAACAGAACCCCCAAAACTCAAAACCAAAAATCCTTCAACAGTATATTCATTCATACATCCATCCCTTCATTAACCAATGGAAACTGAGAAACCGTGGGAGTTTGAGGAGAGGTCTGATATATCCCAGTTAGTGAGGGTTGTTTTAATTCTATTCCTTCATTAAAGTAGATTTTCTGAGTTACATAACTTTCAACTTTAATTATGAAAAGCTACTAAAAAATACACAAAACAGTTTTTATTTTGCCATGTCTCTAATACAAGTTATGAAAAGTAAAATTACTGTTACTTACTTGAGGACGACCAGCTCTACCGATCATTTGTAGAATATCTGTTTCACTGTATTCTTCAAACATCCCTCCAGCATAATGCATTGTAGATTTTATAACTACTAGGTGAGCAGGCAAGTTTACTCCCATAGCTAAAGTACTGGTAGTAACTGCATCAGATTAAGGATTATTAATCTCAAGCCTTACAATTTTTTTCACTCCAGGAAGACATTTTCTTATAAAAGACATCGCTATAAATGCAATAAGACTCATTCACAAAAAAATTTCAAAGAGGAAGAAAATAATAAAATTTTAATCTAAACTAATAACACATGCTAAAACCAAAAAATTATTAAGCTTTTACTTCTCAAATTGTACTTCATTCAATAACATGATAAAAAAACTAAAAACATTGTTACCACAGCATGCACAAACATAGGTAGTTACATAATTTTAGCTTCTTAAAAGAAAAGCAGAAATAAATCATAATATTTAAGATTTTACCTTTTTCTCTTAAAAATAATTTTTCAAAATAATTTATAATATGGGTAAGAAACACATTCTACTTACAAAGAACTGGTAGATCTCCAGTAGTAAAAGCTCTTTCAACTACTTTTCTATCTGACAGTTCCATGCCAGCATGATGATAAGCAACACCATGTATTAGGATATCTATAATAAAAATATGACACCTGTCAGTTACTGTTAATATTTCATCAATTGACTCATTTTATCTATATTTGAAAATGTTATTCAAAAATTATCTCTAAACCTACCTCTCAGTTTTGAATCTCTTATGGAATATGCATACTTCTGTAACCTATTTTAAAATATCATAAAATTGTTGAGTTATTCCTATTAACATCAGAAAATTCTAAAAGTTTCTTAAATATTTTGAAACTTACAAATATAAAAGAGTTTTCATAATATTATCTAAAAACTATCTTTAAACAGAATAGACTACATAACATTCATATTTAGAAGTCCCTAATTTATTAGCTAAAACACTACAGTTCCCTTTCAAACCCAGGGGGGGGGGGGGGAACATTATAAATATTTATTATATTCATGGATCAGAATATGAAAGTCTATATTCATAATTTGCCTAAAATATATTTGTAAGAAATAACAAGTTTTAAAATTCTGCTATATTACCAATAAGTAAACCAAAAAGACTGAAATAAAAAAATTGTTTTTTATTGTGCTCTGAGATATGTCATGTAAAGAAAACCAGGAAAACATTAAAACAGAAGTTAATAAAGTTTCTTAATAATTTAAAAAGCAATTCTTGTACTTCCAAAGATTCTGAAGGTTGGTAGGCTTGATTTTTGAACATGTCTAAGATTCCCCCAAACTGGTGTTTTTCCATTTCCTTGTTGCAGACATGAAAGTAAGAAATTAACATTAAACAGGGATGAGAGGTGGGAGGGAAAGGGAGAGAGAAGGGAAATTGCATGGAAATGGAAGGAGACCCTCAGGGTTATACAAAATTACATACAAGAGGAAGTGAGGGGAAAGGGAAAAAAAAGGGGGGGGAGAAATGAATTACAGTAGATGGGGTAGAGAGAGAAGATGGGAGGGGAGGAGAGGGGAGGGGGGATAGTAGAGGATAGGAAAGGCAGCAGAATACAACAGACACTAGTATGGCAGTATGTAAATCAGTGGATGTGTAACCGATGTGATTCTGCAATCTGTATATGGGGTAAAAATGGGAGTTCATAACCCACTTGAATCAAAGTGTGAAATATGATATGTCAAGAAATATGTAATGTTTTGAACAACCAACAATAAAAATTAAAAAAAATAAAAATAAACTCGGTTAGATAGAATGAGCATTTTGAGAATAAAAAAGTGCTCCCAAAAGTGAAAAAAAAAAAAGAAAGAAAGAAACATTATTTTATAATACTTGTGATTTTTTCAAAAGAATTCACAATGGACTGAAGAGAAGTCAAGTGGAAAGGGCAATATACTATTAAACCTAAACTATTTTTCTATAATACACAGGTATTACAGAAATGTTGCTTAATTTAATTATCAGAGTAAAATGATAAGAAAATTGATTCCCATATGTTGAAACTTAATTAAGAAATTGAAGCTGATAGGCTGAGGATTGAGCTTGGTGGTAGTGCATTTGCCTAGCATAAAGTGAGGCCCTGGGTTTGATTCACAGCACCAACAGAAAAAAAAAAAAAAGAAGAAGAAGAAAGAAAAAGAAGGAAGGAAGGAATAAATTGAATCTAATTTCTGTAACCTAATTTCTGTAGCCTAATTTCTAACAACTAGAAAAAGTGGTACTGTTATTCAAATCTGCGTTTCTACCTTCATGCTAGTTCTAATACCAGTATTTTATTGACAAAAAAACCACAAGAATTTAAAAAGAAATAAAGAAAGAAAAAAAATGAGGGACAAAGAATGAAGAAAAACAAGAGTTGAAAGAGAAATTTTCCTTGAATAGCTAGGCAAAAGTGGGAAATGATAAAGGAATTTAGATACTGCATATGCTTCTGTTTAAGAAAATGATTACCTGAAACAAAACTAATAATCTGTGCAGGGATTAGGGAAAAATAGAAAGGATGGAATGTAGTGGCAAAGGAATAGACTGGTAATTTGGAAGCTGATCTGACCCAAAATCCATAATTAATAATAAGAAGCTAATATTCATTAAGTAGTAATCAAGTGCTAGTACTCCACTAAGACCTGCCAAGATTCAGGGGTAAATATGTTGAACATAAAGTCCCCCTTTCCTCAAGAAGGTTATAATCTAAGTTAAACAAATGTTTTAATAACAATTGAATAAAAGGATATTTATTACAATTATAATAAGTGCTATGAAAAAAGTACAGGGTACTTATAAAAGTGAATAAAGGGAAACTGAAGATTATAGAAAACTGATATTAATGATATGACCTAAAGAATAAGTAGGAGTTAGGTAAAACAATACCAAGAAAAGAAAACATGATGCCTGACAGCCCTGGCTATAGCAGTTTAATATATTCACAGAATAGAGAGTCTTATATGGCTTGATATGAGTATAGAAAAAAAACATGGGTCAAGATGAGTCTGAAAAATAGTTAGGCATCACATTATATAGAGTACTGCAAACCATATTAAGGATTTAGGATTTTATATTAATAACAAGACAGAGCTATTATAAAGATTTTTGATGGGAGACTGACATGATATGGAGTTTTAAGCTCCATATCATGCATCTTTTGAGAATCATATCTGGTAGTTATAACTGCAGAAACAAATTAGCTTTGCTGGTTTGCAGACAGATTTGGCATAGTACTCATCACTTTGGGTAGAAAGAGATGTTCTTTCCAAACAGATGAATGTATGTAACACTGTAAAATGTTGATTTCTACAATTGTTTAAACAGTTTTATTTTTGTACAGTATTAATGACCTAAGTTATTTTGCTATCCCATTTTTGTAAATCAAATGAAATTATCAAAGAGGATTCTATCAGTAGATCTTTTGTACTTATGTATATATGCTGTCCAAATAAAAATAATAAATGATAAAGATTGGGGGGAAAAAATGAGCCTCAGTCAGACCCCTCTACAATGTCAAAATTTAAGAACTGGGTAGTATTATGGTTTGGATATAAGAGGTCCCCCCAAAGATCCTATGTTAACGCAGGAATGTTAAGAGGTAAAGTAATTGAATTGACTGAGAATTGAATTGATTGAGAATCAGTGGCCGGTAAAGCAAGAAGAAAACTGGTAGAAGATGATCATGGAAGAGCAGAATCCAGTGTGTTAAAATAAGGTAGATCAAATATGTTAAGAGATTCATGAGAAATTACTTGGCAAGGTTTTTAGTGAAAGATAACAAAAGATACTGGATTCAAAGTGGATGAAAAAATGAAGACAGCAATATGGATAACCTTATCTTTCAACAAATTCAGTTATGAAATAAAGATAGAATCACATCTACACTAAAGAGTTGTTATCGCAATCCTCAAAATTACTATTATTCTTATGATACAGATGAGAAACCTGAGGCTTTGTCAAGTAACTTGATCAAGGTAAGGGATAAACCCACTTTTCTCATTTCATCTAAGTGATCCTAAAAGTCCTTCTACTTCCAAGGAAAAAACCAAAAAAATTTACCTTTGTTTCTGTTCCACAGTCATAATAAATTTAGCATCTTTCACAAGAACAGAAGCAGCCTGTTGCACACCTTTCCTAGTTGCACAAAACTGAAAATACATTAATAATTTCTATATTAATCATGTTAAAAGCGAACATCACACTAAAAGATAATCAACCAACAATCCATACCACAAGTGTGGGCTTCTGATCAGAGTATGTTTGTATAACACTGGGAATTTTGTAGTTGAGGGTTAAATCAAACTTAAATTCAGTTTGGTTACTACTGCAGGGAAATCCCAGGACCACTTTCCGAAGTTTCACAGGTCTATGGCTTTCATCCATTTTCAGACATACAGCAGGTCTTTCACCATCTGAAATCCATTCTGCAATCTTGAAAAAACAAAAAAATGTACATTAAGCATTTTTTCTAGTCAAGTTTTATGGCCTAAACCCCCCAATTTTAGATTACTTTAAAGTCAAGGTATAAAAGTACTGAATCAGATAGTCTTTTTCAGTATTACATATTCCATTGATATTACTCTGTTGATAAACTGGTAAATGCTATTGGTAAATATTGCTAATAGCAGTATTTCTGGTTTTTTTTTTTTTTTTTGGTGGGGGGTAACCAGGGATTGAACTCAGAGGCACTCAACAACTGAGTCATGTCCCAAGCCCTATTTTGTATTTTATTTAGAGACAGGGTCTTACAGAGTTGCTTAACTCCTTGATTTTGCTGAGGCTGGCATTGAACTCTGGATACTCCTGCCTCAGCCTCCAGAGCCACTGGGATTATAGGCATGCGCCACTGCGCCTGGCAGGTAATTTTCTAATTAGTTATTTTATTTTCCTTCATGAGAATCTAAAGTAAAATTAAAATTGCTTTGGCAAGAGTTGATAATTTTTAATCAAAACATAAACACTTGAGAGAAAGCAGAGCCAAAAGCATATTTCAGGCTCAATGCAAGAATCAGTAATTAGTTTACAGAGCTGTGTTAAGCTATCCTTATCTTTGCTTAATCTGGTTAGTAATCAGGCTCCATGCCCTGCTATGAAACTGACCACTACTTTGACAGGAGAAAGTTTCTTGTTGCACAGGAAGGAATACTGAAATATTCTCAAGGTTATCATGAGTAGGAATAAGATCACACAAGAATTTACATTCTGAGAGGAGCAGAGGATCAAGGATAAAGACTTTAACATATGGGGAAATTGAGGAAGAGGACCAGAAGAAAGGGACAGAGAAATAGCAATCAGAATTGGTAACTACCACAAAATAGAAGAAAGTTTCAAGAATTAGAGGGTATTTATATTTATATAATTATTGCTTACAAATCAATAAGTAAAAGTTTCCCAGTGTGAAAAAAGGATAAAGGGCATGACCTGGCAAGTAACAAAAAACAAAAATTTAAAAGTTGTTGATAAATGTATTTTAAATATTTACTACAGTAAAAATCAAAGAAGAAAAAAACTTAAAATAAGATATATTAAATAATAAATTTGAGAAATATTTAATATTCAAAATTAAATAAAAATAACAATTTTATTATTATATTACACACTGTTAGGATATAGGAAAATGACAGCTGGCAGGATTCAGAGAAATGGCAGCTAAAATAAATGAACGTAACACGGAAGGCAGTGTATCCTTAAAAGTTCTGCATCCTTTGACTCAATTATTTAACTCTAGAATTCATCCTAAAAATAATTATGGATGTTTTCAAATTGCAGGATTGTTTATAATAGAAAAATGGAAATAATTTAATCTTCCATTATTATGATGTTAGATAAATAAACATGGAAATATTTGTAGGTAAAATGAAAATGTAGATCAAAAAACTATAATATTATAATTTCATGTTACTATAGTCTGAATATGGTTAGAGAGTGTGTCTCAAAATTTCCTTTGTTGGAATGCCTGTTCCCCAGTGTAGTATAGTACTGAGGTGATGGAATCTTTTAAGAGGTGGGACCTAGTAAAAGGTGGTTAGGTTACTGGGGCCAACGTTCTTGGAAGGAATTAATGCTGATTTCCCAAAGTAAGCAAGTTCTCATGAGAGTGGGTCGTTAAAAAAAAAGAGTGAGTCTGACTCTAGAATCTCTCTGGATTGCATGGGATTTTTCCCTCTCAGGCATACTCCTGCCATGATACTGTCCACCATGTTATGACGTAGCCAGTAGGGCCCTCACCAGGATGAACAGATGAGGTCACCCAATCTTGGACTTTCAGACTCCAAAACTGTAAACTAAATAAACCTCCTTAAAAAAAAACATATTACCAAGCCTCAGGTATTTTGTTATAACAATGGAAAACAGACTGATGCACATGTAAACGTTTGAAAGGACAAAGTCTGGGTATTAGTTTTACTGTTTTTATAAACTTTAAATTTTTATATATTATTTTTGAATATGAACAAATCAAGTTTTCATTTCATGAATAAGAAAATTATTAACTGTGTCAATTTAAGGATAAAGACAAAATTTTCCATTGGAAGAGCAAATACAGGAGGTATTTTTTCTAAGAAGTGTTGGAGAAAAAAAGCTACATTATAGTAGGCTGACAAGTGAACAGGAGTAAGAAAGTAGAGTGAAACTATCATTTCTCAAGAAGTTTGCCTAAAAATTAAAGAAAAAGGCTGGACACAGTGGTACACACCTGTAATCCCAGCCATTCAGGGGGCTGAAGTAATAGAACTACAAATTCAAGGACAGCCACAGCAACCTATGGAGATCCTGTCTCAAATAATAAATTTTAAAAGGATACACAAATTTCAGCATGTCAAAATGTAGTTCAGTGGTAGAGCCCCGGGAGTTCAAGCTCTAGTACCCCTCCACATACAAATTAAGTTGTATATTCATTATAGGAAGTATAATACTCCATGTAACTATTTCTTTACATGTCACTCTACCATTAACCATGAGATCCTCCTCAAGGACAAGTTCCATATGTTCTCACTTTTGCATCAATCATTTTGGCTTACTGCAATGCTAGGCATATAGAATTGGGAGGAGAGTGATAATCATCTCAGCAATTATTTTTATTTCTATTATACTTTTCTATACAATTAGAGACAGCTGGCTATAATGACCATGTTATTAGTCAAGTTATGACAGGTGGATGAAATCCATAAAATTAAGACTTTTAGATACTAGCTAACAACAGCCTTCTATTAAAAATATTAAACTTGAACGACCATATTTTTGTATCTGAGAAATCTAACCATAAATTTCTACAACATAAGTGACTGGTAAAAAAAAAAAAACCCTCACTGTTCTCTAAGATCAAAATAACTAAACATTTCACCAGTCATAAAACAAAAACCCTGATGGTATATTGAAATTCTAACTTACATCCTCAGCATTTGGAATTGTTGCAGACACAGCTACAAATCTCATTGGGATAAAAGTGCTAGTATTTTCTAAAGGCTGAGATAAAGACTGTATAGTTTTCATTCTGCTGACTACAACTTCAAGAGTTGGACCACGATATTCATCTTTTACAACATGTACCTATACAAGAAATCAAGAAAGAATCATTAGCTGTAAGACTACAATCTATTTAATAAACTAAAATGTACAATGAAATTAAAATTTTTCCTTGAGAAAATGGGCACTTTCCAGCAATTTCCCCTAGAAGCAATTAAACAAACATTGAAGTTGTCTTCTTTCTAAACATCTTTTTATGCTATCTCTGAAAGTGAATAATGTGTTCAATACCTCATCAATGAGAAATAGTCGCACCAGTTGAACCAAAGAGTTGTCTCTCCATTTCCTAGTCAAGCTATCCCATTTCTCCTACAGAAAAAGTGCAAGTAGTTTAATGTGATAAGGAATTATAATAAGTAGTGTTTAGGACATCAACAAAAATTTTACCATGACATAATACAAATGACAGGTAAAGGTTTGATTGATACATTAAAAGTATTCTGAAAAAGATTTAAAGATTAAAAATTTGAATTTTGATAGTTTGGTCAGTGTTTTAAAACTAGGCCTTCAATTCTTTTATTAAATTTAACCACACAACATTTAAATTCACTGTCTGATTACATACTTTTAAACTCTACCAAGGTACTCCCTCTATAATACATAATACTTGGGCAAAAAAATAAGAGGAATAAATATGATTATAAATTATCAACAATAACAAATTGGATATTCTTTGTCCATTTTTCCTATTGGCCATTTGTCTTTTACTTATGTTTTTGTAGGTAATTTTTTTGTACCTTGAATACTATTACTTTTTTACTTTGCAAATATATGCTTCTACTTTGTATTTTCTTTGAACTTCTTATGAAAAGAAACAGACATTTTCTAATAAACCAAGGAAATAATAAAGGATAAATAATACCTACTGGAGTTGTCATAATAATATGGGCATGCTGAATCTCAAATAGGTCATCTATAGCTGTATCTCCAGTGAGTTCTTTACAATTCAATCCAATTGGTCCAAATTTTTCTTTCCAGTCATCAAAACGCTGACTACATAGGGATTTTATTGGTGCCACTATAATGATACATTTTTTAATATAAATGCAATTTTAAAATTATTTTCGCAAATTTTAGTTAAGAAAATTAGGACAAAAGTATATATCTAGGTACTAATATTGACGAATTAAAAGTTAGTAATTTAGGTATATCATTTAGAGATAAAAAGGTAATCACCAAAAAGAACTAAAGATAAATAAATATAATTACTCAGGAACTTATAGCCAAGAGTGGAGAGAGAGGTGGGGGGGTGCTGAGTGCAGAACATTAGTGCTTTTCATTATAAGGCTTTTTGTAATATTTGTGTTTTTAAACCATGTATATATACTACTTTGAGGAAATTTTAAAAAATACATACCCAGAACAGGAGAGCAGAGGCATCTATGTAAATTTCTAGAATTATAAATGTTTATTTTGTTCATTTTAACTGACCTTTAAAAAACAAGCATGTGAAGTTAAAATCCTCAATTCAAATATTACTTTTTATTTATAACTCTGAGAAAATGTGTTTTGAATTTAATGGAACAGACAAAACCAATTGTAATATACCTATTAAAAATATATGGAGGGCTGGATGTATAGGTCAATGGTAGTGTTTGTTTAGCAGTACAAGACTTCAGGTTCAATACCCAGCACCACCAAAAAAAAAAAAAAAAAAAAAAAAAACCTAGAAGGAGAATTTATTAGAGCTGGGAGCATAGCTCAGTGATAGAATGCTTGCCTGGCATACATACAGCCCTGGGTTTGACCGCCAGCAACACAAATAAATAAATAAAATCAGTTTCTTTAAAAATGTATGGGAAACCAAATAATAATGCCTATGACTGAGCTGAATTTACTTCATTTTTGCTTTACTGAGCTTTTATTATAATTAATCACTATTCTTACAATATATACTTACTGTAAACAATTTTAATGTTCAACCATGGCAATGGTACTTCCATTAACAATCTTGTTATAGCTAGTTCGAACATTACAGTTTTTCCAGAACCAGTTGGAGCACAAATTACAAAATTTCTATCTGTATAAAGAAGCTAAAAAATAAAATTTAATCAATTATGTAACATCAAAATTTTCACACACATTCTCAACTTGTTAGAAAATATGTCTTAGGAAGACGCTAAGGAATAATAATATAAACATTCAATTATTAAAACTGTAACCTTGCTCCAGAACCTCCACCATCAAAAATAATACTATTAATATTTAATCTCTTTTATTTGTCAAAGTGATATGCTAGACATAGAAAAAAATCATTCCTTTATCTTCTAGAGAAATTCTCATAAATCTAACAATTACAAATTAATCTACCTGTGAGAATTGTATATATGTATCTAACAAACATTTTCTGAGCTTCTATAATGTACTAGTCACTGAATGTGGCACTGGGAACCAAAATGTGATCTAGTCTCTCTCCTTAGAGAGCATATAACCTGATGAGAAGAGGAAGATAAGTAAATAATTATAAGATACTTACATCATCAAAGGCTTTGGACTGTATATAGTTGAAATATGGGAATTCTTTGAAAATACTTCTAAATTTTGCCGCTTTGAATAACATTAAGGAGTCAAATATTTCAGAAATTTAAAAACAGGTTACATCTGATTTGATTTTAAACTTCAGTTAAACTGATATTGACTCCAACAGCATTTAATAATGAGGCTTTCACATTTCTATTTTCTTAAGAAAGAAATTAACAATTTTTATTAGAGTCTCCACTCCCACTCTGTTTTACAAAGAACTTATGAAGTCCCTATGGGGAAATAAGAGATTACATAAGGCTTATAACTTGAAAGTTAAATATGATGGAAGAGATGCAAATATACAGAGATTAAGTCTATCAGAACTTTGCTTCTAGTTTATCTTTTCCACAGTACACTTTGACGAGGCTACTTTATTTTTACTTCTTTAATATTTCAAATTTCACTAATTATTGATTGTTGATTATGCTTCATTAGATAATGTCTTATTTCTGGTCACCTAACCCTGAAATGAAACCCTTTGTTTCTGATAATTATAACTGAATTATCAGCATGCTGGCTCCTCAGGAAGAATTTAAATCATTCTTTAAATCATCCCCTGAAAAAGTTTTTTTCTTGTTGGTACTAGGGATTGAACTCAGGGTCACTTGACCACTGAACCACATCCCCATCCCTATTTTTGTATTTTATTTAGAGACAGGGTCTTACTGAATTGCTTAGCTCCTCACTTTTGCTGAGGCTGGCTTTGAACTCATGATCCTCCTGCCTCAGCCTCCTAAATTGCTGGGATTACAGGCATGTGCCACTGCGCCCAGCCCATGAAAATGTTTTTAAAATTAATAGATTAAAGAATAAACATCTCTCCAAGGCAAGAATCTATTGCAAGCTTGAAAGAGATTTTACAGCACTCTTCTTATTCTGAATCACTATTAGTTAACTACATTTATTAAACACTATAAGCATGATGCATTATTCAATTTAGAAAACTGTAAATAAAGAAGAAAATGAGTTCCTACCATAGAGACTTTATACTCTAATAGATGATATGACAGATAATATATCTGAAAACTCAAACATAAAATTATGTAAGCAGTATGTTTTTAAGAAGATACATAAGAATTCATGGATTGTTCTAGTGATCCTTTTAAAGCTCAGATTATATGACTCTGCTAAAAACCCATCTTTCTCTTGATGTGGACAGCTATGTAGTCTTGTCACCCTACTACTGCTCCTTCCTGCACCTGATTTAGCCTTTATTTCTCTGATTCCATGTTCTACTACTGGCCCCCACTCCCATTCCTCTCCTCCACCTATACTGACGTTCTTTGAAAACATCAGTCATATACCTTCCATGAAGCCTTCCCCCTGCCTAGATTATTCTTCCTTCCAAATTTCTTTGGCTATTTCACCTCCTTTAATTGCTTAAATTGTACCTTCTCATGATGCCCTATCCTAACTATTCTATTTAATTCTACATCCTGAATCCTCAAATCCAGCAGTCCCAATTAAACCCTCCTTTACCCTGCTCTACATTTTTCTTTTTCCATAGTACTCATTGCCTTTTAAAATACTATATGACTTATTTATATACTATTATAATTGTTCAGATCTATCTTCTTCCCCACCCTTATCCCAAGGTTAACTCTCCAAAGACAAGGATTTACTGTCTATTTTCTTAACTGATATATCCCAAATACCTAGAACAATGCCTGACACACAGTAACTCAGTTAATATATGATTGCATTAAGTCAAGCCATTAATTTAGAAATTTTCATTTTACTTTCTGTTATGCATGTTAGAATATATATTCCAAAATAAAAATGAAATTTTGAATTTGTCAATCCATCAGATTTTGAAGGAATCTCATTTTTCCTTCAAGATATGTCTTTTCTCCTAAAATATTTATTCATAACAAGCCCAGAAGTAGGTATCATACTGTTTTTCTCTCATTAGATAGTTATACATCAATTTATATTAACAAAAATGAATCTTTGATTCAGAGTAGGTGCAGAATCAGTTTCCCAGCTCATGAAAAAACTCAATCACTAACATCATTTATCATCATTATCAACACTCAAAAAAAATTTTTAACAAACTAAGTAGCGGCACTATAATTATATGTTATAAAGGGTAAAACTGTCTCTAGAACTGAAAATGACAAGAGTACTGTGACAGGATCAATCTGACAAAACTTACTGTCCTGAGTATTCAAATACTGTAAAATATTGGAAAAGAATCAGCAAATATATTGTGTCCAAGTAATCCACAAACTCAAATTATCAGGAATAGCCTTCAGTCTTCTACTGTACACACTCAGAAACAATAAACCATAGTACTTCAGTTTTATAGCAAATGAAATTTTTTGACAATAAATCAATGAACAGAAGTATACATAGTAGTCTTAACTAACAAAGATACCTAAACTACAGAACCACTTAAGCTAATATATAGCATGAAAATCTCTAAAAGTCTTAAGAAGGTAGTGCCATACTATGGAAAGTCCAGTTATACAAATAGTTATTTGTTTAACTATCTTTAAACATGCTTTTTACTAATCTATTTCCTATGTTCCATTTTATTTAGATCACAAGAGAGAAGTGCAGCAGGATTGAGACATGGTGCTGAAGAGCAGTGCTAAAGACTGACTACGTCTGAAGTTTAATATCATGTCGGCCTTCCCCCATTTTAACCCAATTTAGTTATCTGCATTGGATACAACTTTTCATAAGTGTTCAGGAAAATATTTTCTAATCATACTTCAGAATTGCCTCAAATGATCTTCTGAGTACTTGGGACTAGAGTCACTATTGCCTAGATTTCCCAATATCTGGAATTCACTTTTTGTTTTGCTAACCAAACCATAACTTTTGTGAATTCTACAACATTCCTCAGCCGTGAGTCACTAATTCCATAAAGCATAGTTTAGATGAGTTAGCTTGACTGCTCAAAAATCTTACATGGTTTATCCTCATTGTTTAATAAATTTATTAAAAATAAAAACAAGGGCATGGGGCTAGGATTGTGGCTCAGCTGTAGAGCGCTCACCTAGCACGTGTGAGGCCCTGGGTTCAATCCTCAGCACCACACAAAAATAAATAAATGAAGTAAAGGTATTGTGTCCAACTTCAACTAAAAAATAAATATTAAAAAACAAAACAAGATCATGATGGCATGTAGCTATAGTCCCAGATACTTGAAAGGCTAAGGCAGGAGGACTGCTTGAGCCTAGGGGTTCAAGACCAGCATGGGTAACATAGCAAGACTTTATCTCCAAAAAAATTTTTTTAAATAAAAAAATAAAAACAAAATGCTAAGAGAACAGATCCTAAGTATTCTTACCCCATATACCAAAAGGCAAATACATAAGGTGACAGAAATATTGATTATGGTAATCATTTTCAGACTGTAAAATAATAATAAAACATCATTGCATACTTCAAATATATACAGTTTTTACCTGTTAATTATATAACAATAGAGTTAAGGAGGAGTTTAAAAACAAAAACATAAAATATTCTTTATGTTGGTATTTATGGCATTAAATGATCTGATCCTAAGATACCTATCCAGGATTATTTCCTATTTCTTTTATATCTTTAATCAAACTGGAATGCTTGTTATTTCCAAACAATTTTTTACCCTCCCCCTTGCTCATGGCTACTTTTCTGCCTACAAGGTTTCTTACTTATGTGCTTTACTTTATCTGCCTTTAAATGTATCTGGAGATGGGAAAGTAGATAAAGCACAACCCTTGCTTTCAAGGAGTTCTTAAGTCTTAAGTCTTGAGGAAACACATAAACAGCTGGTAAGTTGTAATAAAATTGACATGCACAGGGTATTAAGAGGCAAAGAAGATATTGCCATCAGAATACACCCAAAATATTTGCACTAGAAATGGCCAAACATGAAGTTGGATTATATGTATAAACTAGGTTCTTTCAAAAATGTTAGATTTGTAAAAATGTACCCAATTAACAAAAAGTCCATTTCTTTCCATTTCCCCTACTCAGTTTAATCCACTATGGTTGATCTTATCCAAAACATAAGATATTATCTGTATCTATGTGTAAGTAAAGCTGACCAGAGTTCTGCCAACAATACAAATCTGATTTCTGTATTTACCTTGTCTTCTACTGGTACATACAATTCAAGCTGGCACCAGAACACAGACCACTCTTGGAATAGCACTATCATACACATATATCTCTTACATGACTCAAAAGATACACTTTTCATTTTTTCTTTGTAACCAAAACAAATGCACAGGAACACAATGAAACAATATTTTAATAATGTGATTTCACAATATCAAATATGTTGTAAAATAATTTAAAGGATACGAATTTCTGTGACAGCCTTCAAGGAACCTATACCACTTCTGGTTACCCCTAAAAAAAATCATAGATGAATATTTTTAAATTTTTTCTACAAAAAAAATTGCTTCAATAAAACTTACACAACTTTTTTTTGAGAACATAGGCAAAAATATTAGAACACAGCCAAAAAATAATGCAACATAATAAAGAAAGGCAGAAATTGCACATAGATAACCCACTTAAATATACTATAATTTTGTATTTTCTCTATGCTACAAAATGTAGATTAATTTGTATTTTTATAAAACCAAATGAAAAAGCAAGAAATCACCTTGAATATTATGAGGTTGGGATGCAAGTGAAAATGATGGTACTTTTAGTATGTCATCTCCAATTTCAGAAGATGAAAAAGCTTCATTTGCTATAAACATGTTTGATTGAGGTTTTTGCTTATTATTGCTACAGTTCCATGATTTCTCCTTGTTCATTTCTGTTTGAATAATTTTCACTGAGTTAACTCCAGAGTCCAAGTTTGCACTGTTATTAGAATAAGTACCTCCATGCATACTGTCACATATTTTAAATAATCTGAAAAAGAACCACATGTTTTTTACCTGTAACAGTTGCTTAGAATATTAAAGATAGCATTAAATTATCTCTTTAAACATGCCCATAAAAATAAAAAATCCAATCAATCTCCTAAAATGTGACTTTTTAAATTTACTATGGATATACATATTTTCATTTTCCTAAAACTCAGATAAATCCATTTGTGGTAGCCAGTGTCTAAGATGGCCTCAATGATCCTTGCCTCCTTTTTTTTTCACACTCTTTCAGTCTGCAACAAATTGAATCATTTAATCAGAACTGGCCTTTGTAACTAGTAGAGTACTGCACGTCCAAGTGTGTGACTTCCAAAGCTAGGTCAAAAAGACAAAGACATCAGACATTGTCCTTTTCACATAGTCTCTTAGATGGCTCACTCTGTGAAGGAACTCTATCAATAACACCATATCCTAAGAACTCTCAAACAACCTTATGAAGAAGGCCCATGTGGATAGGTACTGAAGCTTCCTGTCAAGAGCCAGCACCAACTTGTCAGCCAAGGTGAATGAGCCACCATGAAAGCAGATCCCCTGTCAAGTGTCAGATGACCACAGACTATGCTAAAATTCTGATTATAGCCCTTTCAGAGGTTCCCAATCTTATGCATTCTCATGAGAGACCCCAGGCCAAAACATCCAATTAAATTGTTCCTAAGTTCCTAACTTACAGAAACAATGAGAAAAGCATTTATTGTTGTTTTTAAGCCACTAAGTTTGGGGATAAGCTGTACACAACAAGATAATTAATGACTGCTGAATAAGTCAAAAAAGTGCTAAAGGGAGGGAAAAAGGCCACACAATATAGTCACAAAAAGGTAATTCACCTAATAGTAGTTATATTTTACTAAAGTGATTCGATATAACAATATATTAACACATGTATTAAATTTATAGGAATAAATCAACATACTTGTCAGGAATTAAAAGTTGTTATCAATAACATTTAGCTTCACAGAAAGTATCAGTTCATTCAGTTTTACTTGCCAGTCAATTCAAGGTTGCATACCCTAGCCTACATCATCCCCCCAAAGAGGAAAAGTAGTAAACTAAGTGTATTAGCAGATCAAATCATCCCAAACACTATCTAATAATAACCCTAGTGTAAAAAATATTTCTTGGCAAAGTTCTGAAAAACAAGGAGACATCATCTTTATGACTGTATTATATTTGATCAAAAGAAAATCTACCACAGTAATTTGTTCAAAATAGCCTCAAGAGATGTAGTAATCATTAAGGTTTCCAATATAACACTTACATCTTATAGAATAAGTAATGGGGATGATATAAGGTATCAGACTTACAGAATTCTATAAGAAATGATACTTAAATACTATGCAAACATGAAATAATTTGCAAATTACTCTGTCATAATGATATGCTTTTGTATAAGAACAAGTCTTTGAAAAAACTTGAAAAATGTATTTTAGCATCCTCTAATGTTTTATCTTTGAAGATGGAAAATTCAAAAGCAGATAATCTTAGATAATATATATTGTACTGGGAACAAGGATATTCAAGCTATAGTATGATTCCCTGCAATATGCTGTGATATTGGTTAGAATCAGACAGACCTAGGTTTAAGTTTAAAGCTCCTCTGCTTTGTAGCTGTGTGATTTTAAAGTTAGTAAGAGTTTGAAATAAGTTTTACAAACTGTAAAGACATTATCTACATTCTAGTTACCAAAATTCTCTGGACCTCAGAATCTTCCTAAATCCTCTGGAACTCCCACTTAATAAACTCTCCTAGGTCCTTCACTTCCTCATTGATTATTTATTATCCCTGGCCTTAAAAATAAACAAACAAACAAACAAACAATGTGGCTCTGCCCTAGAAAACTATTGCTTCTTAAGAAAACCCCTAAGTGGAAACTCCGAATTCTCTCACATTCAATGTATTTGAAGATTGAGAGTGTTTTCCTCTCTATTCCAAATCTAGATCATTTTTCCACTCTCACAATAGTAATCTACACTATTCATCTATGCCACTTCCTAATAGCATATATCACTTATCAACCTTCTGGTCACTTTAGAATACTTTCCTCTTGCTTTCAGAATTTTGCCAATATTCTGTGCTACTGCAACATTAATGGAGACAACCCATTCAAAATCCTTATCTCTCAATTCCTCAGAAAATTCATTTCCAAAGGCATTCTCCTTCACATGACCTCAGTCATCTACTGTCTCACCAGAGTCTGTCATTATCCCAAACTGCCCTTCCTCTCAATAATCTGATGAATAATGATTCTGATATATTATTTTCTAACTTCAAACTTTTATTCTGTTAGTTTATTTGCTCAAGGAACCAGTGAGTTCAAAGAACAAGTTAACTGTAATTAATCTATTTTTTCCTAAGCTATCTTCCCTTTTTCTTTTCTTGTCTACCTTTTGTGGACTTAAATTCCATGGCCACTTTCTTACCAATATTCTAAACTCTGCTTCTCCTGTTAATATAAAAATAACAACAGAAGCTGGGCACAGTGGCACATGTCTGTAATCCCAGCCACTTGGGAGGTTGAGGAAGGAGGATCACAAGTTCAAAGCCAGCCTTAGCAACTTAGCAAGACCCTAAGCAACTTAGCAATATTCTGTACCTATATAAAAAAAATAAAAAGGGCTGGGGATGTGGCTCAGTGGTTAAGCACCCCTGGGTTCAATCCCTGATACAAAAACAAACAAACAAAAATAAACCCAAAAATACTAATTTAAAAAAACAGAGCAAGAATCACAGCTTTTGGGACAGGAGTCCCCTGTGTTTCTCCTTTGCTAGCAAAGCAATAAACCTTTTTCCTTTTTCTCAAAACCATGTCCTCGTTATTGTATTGGCACCGGGGATAAGGACTGAGCTTTCTGCAATATGGAGCTTAAACACTGGAGAAATGCTGAAGAGAAAGGCCCAGGGTGAGATGTCTTTGGAGGTGAAGCAAAGAATTCACATTCAAAGGAGAATGCCAGACATCTGCAGAGGGAAAGACTGCAACCCCTTAGTCTGGGATGTTAATATTCGCAGAGGAACACATGCATACTAAAATTGGAATGGTACAGAGAAGAATAGGTGACACACAAATTCATGAAGCATTTCACATTTATTCAATGGATCAATGGATAAAGAAGATAGACTGCATTTCCAGAGGATGAGAAAATGGACTTTATAATGGAATGCTATTCATCTATAAAAATAATGATATGCTGTCAATTTCAACATGGATGAACCTGGAAGACAATGTGTTAAAAGAAATAAGCCAAGAACAGAAAGACAAATGCAGCATGAGCTCATGTGAAATAAAAACATTCATCTCATAGAAATTGAGAATAGAATATTGGTTATTAAAGGCTGGGGAGGGTATAGGAGTAGGATGGGAAGAGATTGGTCAATGGATACAATGTTACAGAACAAGTTCTGATGTGTTATTGCATAATAGGGTGATTATAGTTAATGATAATATATCATCTATTTGAAAATAGCTAGAAGAGAGGATTTTAATTTTTAATTTCTCTCATCACAAAGAAATGATTAAATGTTTAAAGTGATGGATATGCTAATTACCCTAATTTGATCATTACACAGTTGTATATATGTATCAAAATATCACATGGTATCCCATAAATATCTACAACAATTGTGTCAGTCAAAAATAAAATAAAACTTTAAAATAGTAAAAAAAAAAAAAACAGAGCAAGAGGCTCTACAAAGAAATGAATTTACTTGGAGTAATGGCAAACCATATGCATACCAGAGAGGAAAAGAATGGCAAGGCTTTTGAAAGGTAAAATAAGGTTAATAAGTTGCACTGAAACAACTGTCCTCAGCAAGGATTAATAAGAAGAGCAGTGTCAGCTCAAGGCTGACAAATTGTTGGGCAAATGTCATTGCAAAAGTATTCTTTGTGTAAGGATGTGGTATCTTAATGCCTTTATGCAAGGTTGTGGTTTTCAGAGTACTCATAACAGTTTTTATCATAGGCCACTGTGTGAGAGATCCCCTTCTTTATGACCTCTCTATTCCCTTTTTGTTAGGGTTTGACACAAGTGACTCCATTTTGATTCTGACAACTTTTATCCACTTTATTATTTTTATCATACTTACATCACAAAACCTCACTCCTGAATGATTTTTTTTAAATAATTACAGCAAGGCAGTGGAATAAGAATGGGTAAAAAGTACTACTTTGGAGCAGGTGATTAGTATTAAAATTCAGAGTCATCATCAACAAGCTTGCAGGATATAATGTCAATATACAAAAAACAATTATATTTTCATAAACTAGCAATGGAAAATCTGAAGAAAAAAATTAAGGAAAAAAAAGAGTCCATGTAAAATAACAGCAAAAAAATAAAATACTTAAGAATAAATTTAACAACATAAGTATAAAACTATCCACTGAAAAACTAAAACATAATTGAGAGAATTAAAGAAAACTTTTAAAAATGGAAGGACAACTCATGTTCCTAGATTGGAAGATTTTAAATTGTTAGATGGTAAGATTCCTCAAGTTGATCTACAGATTCAACACAATCTCTATCAAAATACCAGCTGGCTTCTTATACTAAAATTCATATGAAAATGCAAAGAACACAGAATAGCCAAAACAATCTTGAAAAAAAAGATCAAAATTGGAAGACTCACACTTCTTAATTTAAACTACAAAGCTCCATTGTAGGATTAGCATAAAAATAGCATATATTAGTCCATGGAGTAAAATAAAGAGTTCAGAAATGCTGTAGTTTGGGTCAGAAATGCTGTCGTTTGGGTCAAAAGCCCAAGTGTTAAAGGTCAAATCCCCAGCTACTGGGACATAATGGAGACTTTTAGCTCAGTGGGAGGTGTTCTAGTCATTGGAGGTGTGCCCCAGAAGGACTCTGATCTCCTTTCTCTCTCTCCCTTTTTTCTCTTCTCTCTCTCCCATCCAACCATGTGCTTAGCTGGTTGAAACTTTTGGTCTCCCTACTCTTTCCCCTTTGACCTTCAGGATGGGCTGGAGATTAAGTTCATTGCCACTGACAAATCATTTCATCAATCATGCTCATATAATGGGACCTCTGTTAAAACAAACAATGGTGCTCAGAGAGCTTTTGAGTTGGTGAACATATCAAGGTGCCGACAGGGTGGCACACTCACAGAGGCTTACTCCACCCCATCCCCAATAGTCAGCCCTATGAATTTCTTTATTTGGAGTTGTATCCTTTATAATAAACCAGTAAATGCAAGAAATGTGTTTTCCTGAGATTTAAGTCATTCTGGCAAATGAACCTATAGAGACTGGGTTGTAGAAACACCTGAGTTTTTCAGGCACATAGAGAGGTAAGGAGTCTGGGCACCCTGCTTTCCTGGTTGGCATTCTTTAATAGGAATAATTTTGTAGAACTTTATTAATATTAAGTTTCTTTGGGTGGGGGGTAATGAATATGTCTTAAAATTAAATAATGATGGCTGTACAACTATATGTATTCTAAACACCAATGAGTTTGTGCATTCAAAAGGGTGAATTTCATGTTATCTGAATTATAACTTATTAAATCTGATATAAGAAATCATAGTTACCTCAACTGTTCTTTTTATAATATCCAGCATCATTTATAGTATCCAGCATTAGTCTAATTAGATTGCTTTCCTAATCTCCATAATTTTTCCTATTCTTCCCAATCTTTCATAATGCCCTACTTATTCTCTCAAAATGACAGATAACCTCATCTATGTCATAGAGAGAACAAAAACTATAAACTAGATCTCTTCTGAATCTTGAACCTATATATTCAATTGTCTGTCTGCATAATTTATAAATACCTAAAATCAACATGTCCAAATCTATTCATCACGTTCCCCTAAATCTAATCTTTCTTTAAGGTTTTTTTTTTTAATATTACTTAAGGGCCCACCATTCTTCATTATTCTGGTTCAAACTAGAAATGTAGGTTTAAGATCTCACAAATAGTAATCATTTAAGTCCCATGGGATTCTACCTCCTAAATAACTTTGGACTCTCTTCATTTCTGCTATCAAAGTCCTAGGTCAAGACTTCTCTCCCACCTACACCAATATAATAACCTTTTAATTGACTCTTCACAATATATTCTAACTCCTTTCTTGTTTGTCCACCATACTGGGGCCAAAATCAATTTTAAAGGAAAAGAAAATCTAATTTCACTCCTTTGCATGGACTTTTAGGAAAATGATTCTCAAACTTTAGTATACAATATGATCATCTGGAAAATTTGTTTAAAATTAGTTTCTAGATCCCATTCTCATCTTTACTAAAATTATGATTTAGTAGGTCTAAGGTAGGACCCAGAAATCTAAAATTTTAAAAACCATTCTAGGTGCCTCAATACAGTGTGTCTAGGGGCTATAATTTAAGAAACATGGCCTTAAAGTACAAGATGTTGATCATGGTCTATAAGATTCTGAATGGCTTAGTTCCTTCATACCTTACCTCTCAGCATTCTCTTACTTCAAACTAAAGGAACTTTTTGCAAAGAATTGCTTAACTCTGTGCTATCTCAGGACTTCTGTACATTCTATTCTTTCTACCTATTAACACTCTCCCTCTTTATTTTCACCTAGTTTACTTCTATTTTTCTTTAAGGTTAAGTGTAAACACCACTTACTCAAGAAAGTTTTCCCTGATTGGGGTAGATCATGTCCTCATGTTAAATGTTCCAGGACACCTGTTTTCAAAGAACAGTCTGCACTCTTTCAGGGAGTCCATTAAATCAAAATTATTTTCACAATATTACTAAGCCAAGTCACAAGACATCACGACAGACTTAAAAGACATAAATGAGAATCCAACTATATTGCAAAAATATAAAACAATGCCACTTTTCTCACTAAACTATTTTTTTGTTTTAGAAAATAGAACTTAATTTTTTAATTTTAATAGATAACTGGTAATTATATATAATTATGGGGTACAAAGTGATATTTTGATACAAATATACAGTTGTAGTAACCAAATCAAGGTAATTATTAAATCTGTCACCTCAAACATTAATCATTTCTTTGGAATGAGACCATTCTCTTCTAGCTATTTTGGATTATACAATACATTACTATTAACTGCAGCTACTACACAACAGAACACCAGAACTTCTATATAACTGCAACTTTGTTCATCAATACCTCTGCATTCCTCCTTCACATCTCCCCCAGACTCTGATAACTGCAATTCTACTCTCCATTTCAGAGTTCAACCAACCTCTTTTCTTTTTTGCAGTGCTGGGGATCAAACCCAGAACTTCACATATGCTAGGCAAGTACTCTCTTCCTGACCTACATACCCAGCCCTATGTTTGACTTCTTTAGATTCCACATACAAGGGAGATCGTGTTATTTGATTCTCTGTGCCTGGCTTAGTTTACTTAACATAATGTCTTCTACATTCATTCGTGTTGCCACAAATGACAAAATTTCCTAGGTTTTTAAAAAATATATATTTATTTTAGTTATAAATGTACCTTTATTTTATTTATATGTGGTGCTGAGAATCAAACTCAGGGCCTCACACATACTAGGCAAACACTCTACCACTAAGCCACAATCCCAGCCCCTCCTAGGTTTTTTTATGGCTCAATAGTATTCTATTATATACATAGATGCTCCTGGACTTAAAGTGGGGTTATGTACCAATAAACTTATCATAAGCTGAAAATCATAAATCAAAAATGCACTTACTATATCTAACTTACTGAACATTGCAGCTTAGTAACACAGTACACTGTAGATTATCTGTTGTTTACCCTGGTTACTGAGTGGCTGACAGAGAGCTATGGCTCTCTGCTATTGCCCACATAGTTTCAGTGAGAAAGTATGGTACCATATATTGCTAACATGGAAAAAGATCAGAGTCCAAAATTTGAAGTACAGTTTCAACTGAATGCACATTGCTTTCACACCACCATAAGGTCAAAAAGTCCTATGTCAAACCATCACTATGTCAGGGACCATTAGTATACAATACATTATTTTTAATATGTTCCTCTAACGTATTTTTAACACATTATTTCCTACATTTCATGTAGGAAAAGTCTTTTTAACTGAAAATTCATTAATTAGATTAATCGGTAGTAGGTTTAGTATGAGTTTAAGATGAATTAGTAAATAAGTACTTTTTAATTTTTTGGTTTTAATTTCTAATATGATTAAATACTGATATATATAACCTACCTTAATAAAAACTCTTTGGGAATCTTCAATACTTTTAAAATGCAATGGGGTACTTATGATAAAAAGTTTAACAATCTCTGCTCTAACAATATAACTACTTCATGAAAATAACTGTCATACTATGAAGTATTTAGTCAATTATTTTTAGTTATGTATCTATGCTTCCCACTAAATTGTAAGGTCCTTAAAGGTAAAAATCTAGAATCTCAAATATAACAGAATGTTTAATGTATAATACTTTGTTATTACTGTTTTTCTCATTCAGAATCTATCATGTTTAATATTTTTGGATGAACACATTAATATTCCACTTTATTCACTGAATGTTATTTATTACATTTAATTAATTACCTTTTTCGAAATGCTGGTGTGCTCTCTCCCTTTTCCTCTATAACGTTACCTAATTTTGCATCATCAGGAACAGTTTCCTCAGGTGCTATCTTGGTGCCCATGTGGTTTGTATATTTCTGAGAAGAACCATATGTCAGCTTGCCAGCAACATGTGATGAGTCATTAATACCTGCTACTCCTAAATTTAGATAATCACATTCATATTTATAAGAGGGAAACTGGAATTTTTGTGTTGGTGAAATATAATTTATGTCTTCATTAGTAATCTTTAAATTTGACATTAACATTTTTGGATTATTTTCTTGACCTACAAAAGAGGAATATATTGGTTATTATATATTATTCATTAAAACACATTTTCAATATAATAATGAAAAATTTAATTAATTTTTAAAAGTTTACTAGTTAAATTTTTTTTTGTTAAATATGAAAGTCAAGAAAAGTATAATAACAAGATACTCTATAATACCATATATGGCTTTGAAATACCAGGTTGTTTCTGAAAGCAACTTAGAAATTACTTCAGAATTATTAAGATTAAATTCAAAATTTATACAGCATCTATGTTATAAAATAGGTTTAAATCCTGATGACATAAGTAGTAATAATTTTAATATTTAACTATTTTGGCTACTACAAATGGCATACTTATACAAGTAATTATGAGGATGTAAAATTTTATATAAATAATTTACACACAGAAATACAATGGTCAATCATATAAAATCTTAATGAATATGATCCAGTATTAAAATATAGGACACAGTGCTTTTTTTAAATTTGTAATCCTGCTTCTAAAATCAAGATAAAGAAATATCTTCATCAGAGTGATAGAATTTTAAACATTTCTTTAGAGTTTTTTTTTTCCCCAGAATCTATGAGATGTTTAGAGGAAGTTCAGAAGTCTTATTAGAGCTTAAATTTGCTTTACCATCTATTTATAAATATTACACCAGATGTATACCATACATGAAGTATAGTATTTGATACATTCAAGAGTATACATATATCTATTTATATATAAATCATGTAACTTATAAGCTTAATATTAAAATATTTATGCATGAAATTACCAATTTAAGATTAAAATTTTACCAGTAACATCATATTAGATAACATATTGTTTAAGCATTCCTCAAGATTTAAAAAAATGGTCTCAACATGTATAATCTTCTGTTATCTTGTTCTTTCACATAAAGATCTGTCTCCCAGAAGATCTTACCAATTAGAAAAGAGCAAAACTGAAGAGCAGTGACAGGAGTTTTAATGGTTAAAGAGAAACAAATATTCACTGAACAATAGTCAGAACAAGTATGTGATAGGATATTATGTACTATGCACACATATGTGTATGTATGTATGGAGAAGGTAAATGTGTTAGATCATAAGGTTTGGTGAGCATTATTTTGAATAAGAGAAGTCTTTGACTCTCATTTTATTCCATTAAAATTAAGGAATTAATATTTTCATGTGTTACTAGGTTTTTTATATTGACATTAACTGCATGCATTTGGTTTCACAACAAATATATGAAAACTTACCTTGCAGTTTATGACTTTCTATTTCCTCCTCTAATTCCTGAGTATCTGGAATTTCTGAAATCAACGGAGGAGGAGGGAGAAACCAATCCAATGATTTTTCATTGTCTGGATAGCTATATAAAATATAAAAAATGTGAATATATGCTTAAAAAGATCTACAATCAGAAACATGTATTTATTAAACTTTACTCAATTTCTATTACCACTATGATTTATCTCTAATACAGCAATGTTCTCAACCTTTTTTCCCTTGTGTGTCACAGAATTAATAATACGGGGACTGGAGTTGGGATTGGAACTCAGTTGGTAGAGTACTTGCCTAGCACATGTGAGGCACTGGATCCAATCCTCAGCACCATATAAAAATAAAATCAAGGTATTGTGTCCATCCACTATAAAAATATTTTTAAAAATTAATAATACTGCATGTAAGATATGCTACCTAAATAGGAATGGCAATAGTTCCACTTCATTGTCTCTAATTGAAATGCCAGTGATAGGAATTTTAAACCTATTCCAACTTTTTAAAAAGTACTAAATCATTCTCAAACTCTGCACTTTAACTATTACATGTAACAAATTACTTATGATATATCTTACCTATAATCATGGGTCTTTACTGGGTAAATCACTCCATTATTAGTATTCTTGAGTATTCCTACAACTTGAGTGAAAATTAATGTCCTAACCCAAATACTTGGTTCAGAACCATATGCAACCACAAAATCTCTAAGAAATTGGTTGAAACTGGAAATTTCTTTATAAGCCAATGGTAATTGATGAGATTTTTGCCACCCTATTGGCATCTTTACCTGTCCACACATTTCAGCTGTGACCTTATTAACTGATATTGCTTTAACATATCTTTACCAATCAAAGTTGACTTGCTTTCATTAAGATAAAAAGTAAGTGCTAGGTGACAGGAAAAACTTGAGGAAAAAAAACATATATACTGCCTACACTGAATACCAAGCATTTTAAGATTAATTTATTTTCATTTATTGTACTAAGTTTCCCAAGTAAGAGACTTAATCTTTGAATTTTCTGTCCCTCTTAGTACCTAGCACATAGCTACTATGACTATATTTTTCAAATAAAAAATCCACAACATTATTTGACAATGTCTGAGAGACTGAGCAAATACCAGAGCATTTGAAATTCAGGACTATGACAGAGGGTTCCTAAGATCACACCCAGTTCAACGATTTCCTAGCTGAGTCCTACTCCTAGCAATTGGGCAAAGTCCTAGGGAAACCAGGCACAAGTTTCCAAGAGTCCTCTCCACACAAGGGTCACATTAAATAACCAATTGTGACAACATGCATGAAATGTTACCAATGAGGAAAGTTCATTTGGAACTCAATGGTCAGGGTTTATTGGGGACTAATCACCCCCAAGCATTCCCTGTCTGACATATAAATTCCAGAATCCCAGAAGAAAAGCAGGTGTTCACATAAACCACATTATTTGTATAAACAGTTTATGCACAGTGAGCCACTGTTATCAGTTAATGGTGGGAACCTTCCTGAAATCTGTTCTCAGATTCCCACCAAAGGGCAACCTTGCAAACAGGCTTTGCAAGGATAGTCATTTAGGCCTGTTATGTTAACTCTTTTCTATATAGAGACCATTCCAGAAAATCCAAGAAAGAGAATAATGGGATATAAGAAGTATACATATAGCTCTACTATTCAGTCTCCTCATAAAATTAAATCTTCTTTATGATTTCCCTCTTTTTTTCTAGAGGTGCCATCATTCTCCCAGTCACCAACTCCAAACCATAGCATAATCTTTTTTTATTCATAATATATAGATACATATTCCTTTTAATGCTTCTGAAATTCATCATTTTCTTTGTATTTCCATTGTCACTATTGTAATTAAGATCCTAATCAACTTACATCTGATTGAGAACAATAGTGTCTTAACTGAATTCACTGCCTCCAGGCTTTCTCTCTAATACACCTTACACATTCTTACATTAATTTAGAATCATTTTCATCATAGTACTCTATTCAAAATTCTTCAGTGGCTTTCAGATAATGACAAACTTCCCAAGGGACTTAGAGTACCGTACAGTTTTAATTCTCCTACACATACCTTTAGGTTTAGGGTAAACTGAACTACCTGTTAAGGTTTGGATAAGTGTCCTCCAAAGGCCCATATGTTAAAAGGCTAGCTTACCAGCTTGTGACACTATTGGGAGGTGGTGAAACACTTAAGAGATGGAGCCCAGGGGGAGGAATTTATCTCATCAGAGGGATGCCCTTGAGAGAGAGTGTGACTCTGACCCTTTCACTTCTCTTTGATTCCCAGCTGCCATGAGGTGAGGGCTTTTTCCACCAGGTGCTCCCACCATGATGTATTGCCTCACAATAGGCCCAAAAGCAACAAACCAAATGACCATGGACCAAACTCCTCAAAACTACGAGATAAAATAAACTTTTGCTTTGTTTAAGTATTTTGTCACAGTGATGGAAAGCTAGTACAATACCAAACAGATAACACATTCTGTGCCTCCTCATCTTTATTCAAAGATACATCCTTTACTGCTGGGCCTGGGTACACACCTGTAATCCCAATGACTCAGGAGACTAAGGCAGGAAGATTCCAAGTTTGAGGCCAGCCTCAGCAACTTAGCAAGACTCTGTCTTACAAAATAAAATTTAAAAGGACTGGGGATGTAACTAAATAGTTCAATCACCAGTGCCACCTTCCCCCCCTAAAAAAAAAATTTAAAAGATAAACTCTGTACTCTTCCTGACCTTGTACTCAGCCTCATACCCATATCCACCTATAGAAATTCTACTATTATTCATTCATTAATCCATTCAACAACTGTTTAGCACATGCCAGGTGCTTTTCTAGGCACTAGAGTTTAAGTTCATTTAAAACCCACTTCAAATTCTACCTTTTCCAAGAAATTTCCATAGGTTCTCAAAGATTTTCTCCCCATCTTTTTATACACTGAATCCACAATATTTCTCATACTTCTCATTGTATTGTGTGTGTATGTATGTATACAGATAATAGATAGAAATAGCTAATTAGTCTGATACTGTTTCTAGATTGTAAATATCCAAGGGCTTTGCTTTTATTTCCTTTTATATAAGCAGTACTTAGCACAGTGCTTTATATAATTAGGTGTGCTATTCAGGAAATGTTTGTTGATTTAATTCCACAGCTTTTAACACATAGAGAATTATACAGCATTTAACACCCACCACAATCTATGCTCAACTTTAGAACTCTATGCACCATTTGTCTCCTTTATGAACCATCTACTCTAAAAAACTTCTATATACTATCCCCTCAAGTACTGTGACTTGTCCCATCTTCATTCCTTTTTTTTTTTTTCCCCTTTAACAGTAGGCCTTCAATGCCTACTTCCTCTGTGTCCAAAGAATTATCAGATATTTCAAAGACTCCTGAAGCCTCTCCCCACTACCATAAAGCCTGACCTGATCATCTGGCTAAAGGTTACTTTCTTCCAAATCTGAAATTTTATTGCATAAATATTAATCATTTTGCATACATTTTTAATTTTTTATTGTTAGAACAATCATATGTTCCAAAATTTGCCTAACCCTAATCCTAATACACTGACTTACAGTCCTGATTTACTCCTGCTGCTCCAGCAGGATGTACTTTTTTACTCTCAAAAGTTTTCCAGTCTGTACATATATACACAATGGAATATTACTCAGCAATAAAAGAGAATAAAATCATGGCATTTGCAGGTAAATGGATGGAGTTAGAGAAGACAATACTAAGTGAAGTTAGCCAATCCCAAAAAACCAAATGCCGAATGTTTTCTCTGATATAAGGAGGCTGGTAGTGGGGTAGGGAGAGGGAACATGGGAAGAATAGACAACTCTAGATAGGGCAGAGGGGTGAGAAGGGAAGGGACAGGGCATGGAGTTAGAAATGATAGTGGAATGTGATGGACATTATTATCCAAAGTACATGTATGAAGACACAAATTGGTGTGAATACACTTTGTATACAACCAGAGATATGAAAAATGGTGCTCTATATGTGTAATAAGAATTATAATGCATTCTGCTGTCATATATAAATAAAAAATTAATTAAAAATAATTCCCAAGTGACATATTTCTACTTTCTCATACTCTTAAAAGGAGCTAACCACAATTCTCAAACAAGAACAAACTATTGTCCTTCATCATCATTGCCACCACCACCATCATAAGTTTTTAATATTTAAAAGTATTTCCTTTATAACTCACCATAGAATATTTCAAATTCTGATTCTGTGTCCAAAAAAACCCGAATATGAGTCATGGATATGTTATATCATACTATGTAATGAGTTTAAATACAGAATATTGAAATATGTGGTTAAAAAAAGTATTCCAGTCTGGATCATGATTTACATAGTCAGATTATTTATTAATGACTTCCCATATGTGTGTTTAAACTCAATTAGATTTTAACTTTTAGAAGTGAGTTTCTTTCTTTTTATATCCTTTCAGCATTCAATCAATATTTGAATTACTATTAGAATGAATGAGTGAAAGCAATAAGGGGGTTTCATTAAAATAGGTTATTATAACAAATACATATAAAATTCAGAATTGAGAGCAATCTACATGGTCTCACATCTTTATTTCCATCCCTACACATTGCCTGTGCTAAATACGCTTATCATAGTTAGTCTTTGGTACATGCTCATTCTGTTTTCAAAACGTGTCATCACTTCTTGTTCTCAGCTACTCTTTGACATTATTTCCAGTCTTTACCTTAGTCAAGAACAACTTAACAAATTAGAAATTTAAAGCAAATGAACATAAAACTGGCAGGAATTAATTGAATTTTTAAAACTATAACATTTAAGATGCTGAACCTTACTTACCAGTGAATCTGAATTCCATGTTTCTAAATATACATTCTGTTGATCTGCCATTTTTAATTGTGTATTTATCAGAAAGAAAATAAACTCCCTAATTTTTTTAAACTCTAAAATAATATACTATATTATTAGCCCTTGAGATAGACTTACTTTTCAATTTCATCTGGGTTTTCAAAAAACAAACTATCCACAGAAAACAAGCAGTCATTTAGTTTTGACATCTTTGAAAACTGGACTTTGTCATAAATCTACAAGATATAGAAAAGGTAGTTTATATTTTATTTACAAAGATGGAGAAAATATTTATGGATAAGTAAACTATAATCATTAGTTTCTCAGAACATCCTTTAAAATATAACCACAGATGAGTCTTACAGTTTCTCCTTCTGTGACTTTCAAAGCATTTCAATATCAACATACTGTATTCTCTACTCATTCATATATTTTCACATTTTGAACCCCTTTCTTCATACTGCACCAATATTTAGAATATTTTCTTCCTGGCAAATTCTTGTCCATTCTTCAAAGTATAGGTTAAATGTCATTTCTTCTTCAAAGACTTCTCTAAATTTGTCCTCTTCAATAACACAAAATTAACTGCTCCTTTTGGGTTAATACTTTGTTTATAGTATTATTTTTGAGTTAAGATATTAAAATTTATTGTGAATGTGTGTACCTCTAATACAACTATGTACCTATGCAGGAATTTGCTTCAAAATAAAGGTGGAATGGTAGAAATGTACTGATAAAACATTATTGGTGACAAGTTGGTAACTGCTAAAACTATGCAACGTGTATGTGTGGATTCATAATAATAGTTTATTTTTCATGTGTTTGAACTTTTACAAAATAGACAAATTTAACACATACATATTTTTACACTCATGGTATATAACATGTATATGTCTATCTGTAGATAGACATATACACATTCTTTTTTTTTTTTTTTGTTTTAAGATATTCAGAGATGTAAAGGTTAAAAATATTCACCTCTGGCCACCAGGAATGAAAAAAGGGCTGAAAAAAGACTCAAATGTGAAAGGAAACCATAGCACCATTTCTACAGGTTCACATTGCTTCTTTCTTATTCCAATTACTTCCCTGTGCACACTAAACCTACCTTCCAATTTTTTCTCTAAATTCTGAAACAAGACAGAACATTCTATAGGTCAAAACATGAAATAAGATGCACAAATCATAAACGTGAATTATATTTCACTTACTCTGTGATAGTTAATACATTACAAACTCATCCGCAAGATAGAAATTAAAATCAAAGAAATTATATGAGTACCATCTTGAGGAGAAATCCTCATTACCAATTTTGAGAATTCCCTGATATGGAAAAAAGATACAAGTAGGACTGATGTGGGGAAGAAAGGAATATTTCCAAGTCCATCTCTGGAGAAATACTACTGATAAGAGGGCTAAACCTGCAAATGGCTTTAAGACTGTTCTTACTGATCTAGACCGTTGTGGAGTTTTTCACTGTTTTAGTTGCTGGGTTTTCTGTCCTCTAATATGTTTAACTGGCCTCTTTATTTTTCTCAATTTACTAATCACTCAGTCATCAACAAAAAGATATAGTAAAAAAATAAATTAATATGGTTTTATATATATATCTCGGACAATCTGTTAACATCGTTATTAGATAACCAATGTTAAAACTTGAAAACAATTATATGAAAAAGAATAAATAAAAATGCTAGTCATTTTTATACTGCCCAAAAAAATAACAAATGTTTCTTGGCTTTAAAATAATACCTCAGAATTTAAGAAAATCTGAAGGCTAACATCGTTTATATGCTTGTGTTTCTTTTTCTTCTTCTTTTTTTTTTTTTGGTATCAGAGATTGCACCCAGGGGCGCTTGATCACTGAGTCACATTCCCAGCTCCCTTATTATTTTATTTTATTTATTTTTTTAGTTGTAAGTGAACATAATACCTTTATTTTATTTATTTATTTTTATTTGGTGCTGAGAATGGAACCCATTGCCTCACACATGCAAGGCAAGCGCTCTACCACTGAGCCACAATCCCAGCCCCTCCAGCCCTTTTTTATACTTTAGAGACAGGGTCTCACTGAAGAGTTGCTTAGGGCCTCGCTAAGTTGCTGAAGCTGGCTTTGAACTGGATTCTCCTAAGCCTCCCTAGCTGCTGGGATTGCAAGTGTGCGCCACCACGCCCAGCTTGAGTAAAATAAGCTGCAAATAAGACAATAAAACTACAAATAAGACAATAAAACTACAAATTTAAACTATTATAGCCGGGCGCTCTGGCACCTGTAATCCCAGCGGCTTTGGAGGCTGAGGCTGCCTTCTCTAATTACATTGATAATATCATAGCACTTTTTATCTTTTATAACCCTTATTGATAAAATTTTCGTTCCTATGACTTTATCATTTTTAATGTTAAAAATACAATTTCAAAAGTGCAGAAACTCATATACAAATAAATTACTGACTTGCTAGAAATCGTTAGTGAAGAAACCGAGACCAACATTCAGCAACTACAGGGAGTTTGACACAGTAAGGGAGCACATTCCCGCAGTCTCCAGGTCTCAGGCAGCGAAAAGCACCCCAGTCAAAGCCCCAGCCCGAGGATCCCCCTCCCACGTGGTGGCCGGCGGGGCGCTAGCTCCCAGATCGCCCACTAGAACTCCCCGGGCCGCGCAGGAGCCTCAGGGCGCCCGCGCGGCCCACGCCCGGAGCTCTGGGGCCACGCACTCCACCGCGGCCTCCTTCCCGCCGCCGTAAGACGAGGCACCTAAACAGATGCGGAGGCCCGCCCAGCTCTAGCTCAGGAGAGAAACCCCGGACACACACCCAAGGGGGCGGCCACAGCTAACCGGACAAAACACCACACGACCAGCCCCGTGGCGGGCGGGTCCCTTAACGTGCGCGAGTCAGGTGGCCCGGTCTTCTGACGGGAACACGCTGAGGAGCCTACCGGCCCAGACGCGAGCCTGATGCTTGGGGACCGCTGGCCAACACCGCGCCCCGCCTGGGCTGGGTCCCTACCTCCCTGCGGACCTCCAAGCCGGTCCCCACATTTCCTGCCTGCGCTCCCAGTCCTCACCTCCCGGCCCGCAGCTCGAGGCGGAGCGCCGATTCTCTAGACCCTCAGAGGACTCCCCTCAAGGGGTCTTAGCCGAGCTCCAAGCAATGGATCGCTGGGACTCGACTTCTCCTTTTCCACTGTGCCTGGTTTCTCCAGTATTTATGATTGACTTTGAATACATTATTTGCAGTGTACTGTATCAACTCTCATTAAATAAATATCTTGATTTTTAGGTGTTAAGAGTCTCCCAAGTGATAGCTCTTCCGGAACAGCCTGCTTCTCCCACTGCCCCAACAGCACCCACTCCCAAACACACTTCAAGCTGCCTTTCTCAGGGAAGTTAGGCCTCAGCTCTGAGACCTCCATTTTATTATTACCTAAAAAATACTTTAGGTATATTATTTATCAAAATACCATAATGACACCCATGAGGTCAATATGACCTTGATGAATTTATTTCAGAGATAAAATTAAATTTCAAAAATAAATATTTTTAAAAGTACAATGACACTTAAAAATGTTTAACCATCAAGGGTTTACAGAAACAGTGTGTGTACTCATGCTATAAATGTGAACAAACTATAAGTTAACCTTTTAAATTTCTTTAACAAAATTGTTCTCTGAAGATTGACAGGGGATACTTTTGCTGAAAACTTTTGTAGATGGAAAAATAGCAACTAATCAATGATGTCTTTCAGGGATATTTATCCTTTCTTTGACACCCCCCACATCTGACATCTAGAGTCCATATGCTACTGTCTGCTTGATTCCTGTTGGCTCTTCTCTCTGCATCTCTGTTTATTAGCTATATAGCCTTGGAAAAACACAAACTTTAAGTCTTAGTTCATTATCCCCAATGACACTAATGATTCCAAACTAAAATATTCTTGCAAGGGATAAATAAAATAATAGTGGTAACAGTCCTAGCACATGATAAATGCTCAATAATATTTTTTTCATCTTCCCTGGAACATAAAATCATTCCAGGACTTTGGTAAACCAAATACTTTAATAATGATAAACTAATAAACTCACTAAGTATTTTGGGCAAAATAACTAATAATCTAATGACCTCATAAACTATTCATACTAGAAAAGTTGAATTACCATTTCTCTCAAAGGTACTGGACCTATATATAAGAAACTGTCTTAGCAAAATAAGATACATATGTTAGGAACTGAATGCTTGTGAATCCTCCAATCTGTTAAAATTCATATGTTGAAATTTAATTCCCAATGTGATGGTATTTGGACCTTTCGGAGACAATTAGTTCAAGAGGTAGAGCATTCATGAATAACATTATTGCCCTTATAAAAGAAGAGGCCAGAGACCTAACTAGTTCTTTTCCCACTTTATGAGAATGTAAAGAGAGTCAGAAAGGAAACCCTCAGCAGACACCAGATCTGCCCACACTGTCATCTTGCACTTTCCAGTCTTCAGAACTGTGAGAAATAAATTATTTAAGCCACCTAGTCTATGGTATTTTGTTGTAGCAACCCAAACTAAAACAGCATCTGTGATAAATTAAGGGATTCAGCAACAGGCTAGTACAGAGAAACCTATCGTCAAAGCACACAGTAGCAAATGGTACCATGTTCATAAACAAATCCAATCATTTATTCAAGAATATACTAGGAATGCTACAGAGCCTTGCCTTTCCCCTAAAATAACTTCATATAAATATGAAAGGTTTAGTTTTTAAAAGGAAACATCAGAACATTGATTACTAAAAATCCCATTTTGGGGATATTGTCTTGTTTTTTAGCCATGTTGCCACATTTCTCAAGAGAACATTTTAATCCTAAAGATTTAATTTTACAATCAATGCTATAACAATTCTCCAAATTAAATAGCATAACTTAACATTTGAAATAAAAAGTCATCCATATCAACTTCTGAGTGAGGAGCTCTGCTAATTCATTCCCCAGTGAAACTGGTGAAAATTATAGATACAACTAGTCATGTCCTCTGGAAATGGTCATAGGAGCAAACAGAAAAAAAAAAAATCGGTCTGTTCAAGGAAAAAAAAAATCTATGAAAGTTCAGCAGAAAAGGCAAGAGTCTGGTATTTTAACCAAGACTGATTCCTCCTTCTGCCTTGCAGCTTAGCAAGACAGAGAGTCCGACTATTCTAGACTCTTATGGTCAAGAACACAGGGCTCCTTCTGCCTCAGCTTTCACTTAGAGAGCTTTCTTTCCCCTTCTTTCCTTCCTTCCTTCCTCCCACCTCCTCTCCCTCCCTCCCTCCTTTCCTTCCTTTTTAAAGTGTGATAAAATATGCATAGTATTTATAATTTCAACCATTCATAAGTGTATAATTCAGTGACTTTGAATACATTCATACTGATGTATAACCATCGCCATTATCTATACCTAAAGTTTTTCATCATCCTCCACAAGAACTTAGTACTCATTAAACAATAACTCCTTTTTCCTTTCCTCCCCTTCAACTCCTAGCAACCTGTATTCTACTTTGCATGTCTTTGAGCTTGGATATTCTAAATTCCTCACACAAGAGGAATCATCAGGCCATGAGTCCCACTAGGTGGGAAGTGGACTGCTGGATGTGAGGGTTGTGGGGGCTCCTGGTGGGATAGAGATGTGCTGCCGGTTGGGAGGACCTCTGCCAGACAGTGGGGTAGGGTCCATCACTGCAGTGCACTGTAAAGCCTGCCCTCAGGGAACCTGTGTGTGTGTGTGTGTGTGTGTGTGTGTGTTTGCAATCTTTTCTCCTATTCAATAGACTGTCTTTTATGATACTTTTATAATAGTATACTTTGGTGCATTAAAGTTCTTAATTCTGATGAAGTCAAATTTATCTGTTTTTCTATTGTTGCCCTGATTTTAGTGTTATATTCATGAAGTTGTTGTGAAGTCCAAAATTAAAAAAGATTTATCCAGGGTTTTATTCTCAAGAGTTTTATAGGTTAAGCTCTTATGTTTAGATATTTGATCAATGCAAGGGGAAGTAGGATCATCATGGATCAACAAGGTAGATCCATGTGGACTAGGGTTAAGGGAGGACCCCATTTCAAATAAAAATGGAGGGCAATATATAATTTCCAGAAAGATTAGTTTATTTTTTAAATTTTGTATTTGTTCTTTTTAGTTCTATAAGACAGTACGATGTATTTTTGACATACATACATGGAGTATAACTTCCCATTTTTGTGGTTGTACATGATGTGGAGTTACACTGGTTGTGTATATGTATATGAACATAGGAAAGTTATGTCTGATTCATTCTGTCTTTGCCATTCTCATCCACACTCCCTTACTCCCACCTCCCCACCATCCAATCTGGTGAACCTCCACTCCAGTCCTCCTTCCTCCCCACATTTTGAGTCTGCATCCTCATATCAGAGAGAACATTAGGCCTTTGTTTTTTTGGAATTGGCTTATTTCATTTAAAATGACAGTCTCCAGTTCCATCCATTTACCAGCAAGTGACACTATTTCATTCTTTATGGCTGAGTAGTATTCCATTGTGTATGTGTACCACATTTTGTTTATCCATTCATCTGTTGAAGGGCACCTAGTTTGGTTCCATAGCTTAGCTATTGTGAATTGAGCTGCTATAAACATTGATGTGGCTGTATCACTGTAGTGTGCTGATTTTAAATCTTTTGGGTATATGCTGAGGAGTGGGATAACTGGGTAAAATGGTAGTTCCATTACAAGTTTTCTAAGGATTCTCCATACTGCTTCCACAGTGGTTGCACCAATTGTCATTCCCACCAGCAATTTATGATTATATCTTTTCCCCACATGCATGCCAACATTTATTGTCACTTGTATTCTTTTTTTAATTAATTAATTTATTCTAATTAGGTATATATAACAGCAGAATGCATTTTGATTAATTATGCATAATTGCAGCACAACTTTTCATTTCTCTGGTTGTACATGATGTAGCATCACACCATGTGTGGAGTCACGCATTTACCTAGCGTAATGAGCTCCATCTCATTTCATCATCTTTCCTGCCCCCATGCCCCCTCCATTCCCTTCCCTCCCCTTTGCCCAATCACAGTTCCTCCATTTTTCCCATATACCGCCCCCCCACCCCACCTTATGGATCAGCAGCCACTTATCAGAGAGAACATTCAGTCTTTGGTTTTTTGGGATTGGCTAATTTCACTTAGCATTATATTCTCCAGCTCCATCTATTTACCTGCAAATGCCATAATTTTATTCTCTTTTAATGCTGAGTAATATTTCATTGTGTATATATACCACAGTTTCTTGATATCCATTCATCTTCTGAAGTGCATCTAGTTTGCTTCCACAGTTTAGCTATTGTGAATTGAGCTGCTATAAACATTGATGTGGCTGCATTACTATAATATGCTGTTTTTAAGTCCTTTGGGTATGGACTGAGGAGTGGGATAGCTGGGTCAAATGGTGGTTCCATTCCAAGTGTTCCAAGGAATCTTCATACTGCTTTCCAGATTGGTTGCACCAAAAATTTGCAGTCACACCAGCAATGTATGAGTGTGCCTTTTCCCCTACATTCTTGCCAACACTTATTGTTGGTTGTATTCTTTTTTTTTTTAAAGAGAGAGAGAGAGAGAGAACTTTTTTTAATATTTATTTTTTAGTTTTCAGCGGACACAACATCTTTGTTTGTATGTGGTGCTGAGGATCAAACCCAGGCTGCACGCATGCCAGGTGAGCGCGCTACCACTTGAGTCACATCTCCAGCCCCATGTTGGTTGTATTCTTGATAACAGCCATTCTGACTGGTGTGAGATGAAATCTTAGAGTAGTTTTAACTTGCATATCTCTAATTACTAGAAATGTTGAACACTTTTTTTATGTATTTGTCGATCAATTACATATCTTCTATTGAGAAGTGTCTGTTCAGTTCCTTAGTCCATTTACCAGAATAATCAAAGCAATCCTTAGCAAAAAGAGTGAAGCAGGAGGCATCAAAATACCAGACCTTAAACTATACTACAAAGCTATAGTAACAAAA